GAATATCCGCCTCCTTGCCCTCTACTGAGACTGCCTCTGTTGCATGGGCCTCGAACCAGGCCGGTTGGAGGAGTGTCAGCCCCTCGTTGTCATCTCATCCCTTCGGGTGGTCAGGATAGTGGGAGAGCGCATCCGGCTTCCCCATGAGCTTCCCTGGGCAATGGACAAGGGTGAAGTAGAAGTGGGAGAGGAAGAGGGACCAGCGTGCTTGACATCGGTTGAGTCTCTGGGCCGTGCAGAAGTACCCCAGGTTGCGGTGGTCAGTGTAGACCTCGACCTTCTCCTCGGCACCCTCTAGGAAGTGCCACCATTCTTCGAGGGCCCGGATGATCGCAAGCATTTCCTTGTCGTACACCTCGTAGTTCCGCTCTACATCCGTAAAACTCTTGGACATAAAGGCTACCGGGTGGAACTCTCCATCTGACTGGAGCTGGGAGAGGACCACGCCGGTCGCGAAGTTGGAGGCATCACATTCGAGCCTGAGGCGGCCCGAATCTGTCAGGAAGGAGAGGATGGGGGCAGAGGTGATGGCTTCCTTAAGGGCATGGAAGGAATTGTCTTTGTCCGGCCCCCAACTCCAGGCCTTGGTCTTCCAGGTCAGCACATGGAGGGGTCATGCCTTTTCGGAGAAATCTCTGATGAATCGATGGTAGAAGTTCACGAACCCTAGAAAGGATTGTACCTCCTTCACCTTGGTTGGGGTCAGTCAGTTGAGAACTCCGCAGACCTTCACCGGGTCCATTGCAACGCTGCCCTCAGAAATGACGAGACCGAGGTACTCGATCCGGGTCCACTTGAACTTGCACTTCTCCAGCTTCAGGAAGAGCTTCTGCATCCGCAACGTCTCCAGGACCTCTCAGATGACCTTCCGGTGTTCCTCTAGGGTAGAGGTGAAGATGAGTATGTCATCCATATAACAGATGACAACCTCCCAGTCAATGAAGTCCCGGAGGATGTCGTTCATCATCGTCTGGAAGGTTGTGGGGGAGTTGCACAAGCCAAAGAACATCACCATGGGCTTGAATAGCCCCCGGTTGGTCGCGAACGCTGCCTTCCACTCATCACCATCCTTGATCCGGACATTGTTGAACCCCCAGCGTAGGTCTAGGGCCAAGAAGTACTTGGCCTTGCGGAGGCGGGCGAGAACATCCGAGATGAGTGGGAGGGGGTATGAGTTCTTTACCATGATTTCGTTCAGCTTTCGGTAGTCTTGGACCAGCTGTAGCAACCCATCCTTCTTTTTGACAAAGAAGACCGGGGCTCCCATTGGAGATTTGGATGGCCGTATGCACCCATTCTGTAGGTTTTCGCGTAAGAACTCATCTAGTTCTTTCTGCTCAGGGCGTGAGAGGGGGAAAGTTTTCCCTCTGGGCAGTTTGGCGTCCGGCACCAGGTCTATGGCATGGTCCCAAGGCTTCCGGGGGGTAGTCGGTCGAAAGCCTCTTTCGAAAACACGTCCCGGAAGTCTTGGTAGTGACCCAGCACTAACTCCTCGAACGATGTGGGCTCTGCGTCCGGCTCACGAGCCTCTTGGGCCATTCACTGGGAGGGCACTGTAGTCGCCCTTAAGTCATGGCCCCACCCTGAGGGGATGATCGCAGCATAGATCCCATCCCCAGGTTCTATCAGAGGGTCCTGGTCATCCAGCACCCATGGTGACTGGCAGGACGATGGGCAGCAGGACATGACAACCCTCTGTCATGCCCAGTCCACTTCCGGGTTGTGGTGGAGTAGCCACGAGTGCCCTATGATGAGGGATTGTCATCCTAGGTTCGCAACAGCGAAACGGGCCCGCTCTGTGTGTCTCCCGAATGTTAGGAGGGCTTCTAGCTCCTCAGTTATGGCTCCATTCTCATTCGGGGTCCTGTCTATGTTATGGACGGGGATGGGCTGTGGGAGCGGGGTCGTCTCGAGCTTGTGCTTCTGAATGAACTCGGGGCTCACGAAGTTCCTGGTGGCCCCGGAGTCTAGGAGGGCGGACACAGACACAGAGGCGAGGGAGGTCAGGGTGGTCAGCTTCACGGTGAGGTTGAGTGACCTGGGGGACTGCTTCGAGAGGACGTAGATAGCAGGTGGGGATACCGCTACTTCGGGTGCTACCCTTGAGTCTTTCTTGCTTTCGCGGGCTGAGGATGCGTTTTTTCTCTTTTTCTTTGTGATAACTTGGTGGAACTTCTGCATTGGTGTTGGCTTACATGCGCTGCGGTATCTACACGAGTTGTCCGCTACGGGCAGCCAGGATGGATCCCTCACTGGTCGCCCTCCTGAAAATCCTCTTGGGGACCCTCCTCTGGCCCTCTCTGCTCCGTCTCTGGCTCTCCTGTCAACTGGCTCCTCAGTCCTTCCATCAGTGCCCAGAGGTCTTCAGGGTGGAGGTGTCGTACTCGATGGACCTTGGGGTGCTGGCACTCCCAGGCAATGTGTCCTGGGGCGTTACAATTGTAACACAGCCTGTTCCTCCTCTGGTCGATTCTCGAGCGATCAAGGTCCATTGGCTGCGGACCGGCTCCACTCGCGGGGCGGACTGTAGGGGTCGGGGTACGGGTACGGGTGTGGGCCGTGGGGGTGCAGGTGTGGGGCATGTCTGAGAGGGGGCGGTAGTTGGTAGGGGTCATCCCAGCAGGAGTGGGGGTCTGGACGGGGGCGTGTGGGGCTGTGTTGCCTGGAAATGTCGCCATTGGTTATCAAGGAGGGTGGCCTCACATTTCCATTCAGCCCAGGTGGTGGGCATGGGGCGGAGGCGGTAAATGCTCTCGCAGAGCCAGGCATTGATGTCAGGGTTCAGCACCCTGCCTTAGGGTGCCCCGGACTCCCCACCTACTTTACCCCCTTTTATTCTTTGACTGTTGCCTTGTTGTTGCCTTTGTGTGTTGTGTACACGCGCGCACGGGATAGCATGGGAACTTTCTGAGCGAGCAGCTCGCCCAGAATGTTCCCACGGGTCACAGCCACAGTTCTGGGCGAGCAACTCGCCCAGAACGTTCCCATGCTTACTGGGCACTGCCACCTGGATGTTCCCTCCGGGTCACACTACACAACTCTAGGAGCTGTATAGTTGTGGGCATGTGACCCATTCCTTTATATAGCAACCATGCGGGGAGATGAGACCTTTACCCTTCTTCTCATCTCATGCCCCGCATAGGCAAGTGTATATACTCCCTTTCTTTTACTATACATCTCATGCCCCGCATAGTGTGAGGACAGGCCAGATGGGGGTTGAGGTCAGGGAGCCTCTGAGTCCGAGGCCGGGCCCTGACAATTGATTGCTTGCTCGAAGTGGTCGACTAGCCCAACGTCACCCAACTGCGAGGCAGGTCCCAGTATTTCAAACTCCTGGATGACCTTATCCACGGAGTCACTCCCTTGTTGGATGTTTGCCAGTTTCTGCCGGGCTGTGGCTTCCCAGTTCGGATCCTGGAACATGGCATCGAGTTCTGTGTTGAACTCATCCATGGTGAGTGTGGGCGAGCCAGCCGTCAGCAACATAATGGTGCGTTGCGTGGCCCATGCTCCTGCAGTCCCTCTCTTCATATAGGAGAGCACAAAGAGGATCTGCAAGAGGGCGCTAGGGAACTCAGCCGTGCGGATGTGGAAGTAGATACCACATTCAGCTTTGAAGCGGTCAAGATCCTCACTGGCTCCCGAGAAGGGGGTAGGAGGGGCGACCTCAGGGCCCTTGGGTCTGGGCGCGGGTGTTGGCACAGGCGGGGGGGCAGGAGTGGGTATGGGGTGGGTGCAGGTGCGGCCCGGTTCAGGGCGTGACTTTTGACAATGGCCTGTAGTTCTTCAAACTGGGCCAACAGGTCGTCATACTGTTCTTCTGACACCATGGCAGGGGAGGAGGTAGAGGAAGTATAGTTGAAACCTTCTTCTGCTGTCAGGGATGCGTCTGGGGTCCAGGCGGTCCAGGCGTAGCATCCGGTGCTAAGAACCTCACGGGGGGTAGATCGGGCATGCGTACTGGCAGGCCCGATGTGGGACAGCGATCCCTGGCCACTTAGACTGAAGTGGGAATGTTGAGAAGAAGGTTACTTCTTCGGTTCCCACCCCAGGTGTGTTTATATACATGCAGCTTGGGTCACATGAGGTCTGCCACGTCACCCCGCATACAGCTGCAGTCATCCAGGTGTCCCCATGGGGGATCCCGAGGGCGTATGCTGCACGCACATGCACTAGGTTGCGCCCTAGAGCCATCCGGGGTCGTCCGGGGCTGGGCATGTCGTGTGCACGTCGCAGGCAGGTCAATAATACATGGATATAAAGGAAAGGTCGTCCGTGTGAAATAGAAATAGAAGTGGAGGAGGGATAGAGGGGGAAGGGATATGAGGGAAGGGTGCAGGGTGAGAGAAGGGGTACTGGGTGAGGTGGGCCCGGGTGGAGGCGGGTCGGGCGGGTGTGCCCTGACAGAATTCTGCAAATGTATTGACCGCTTTTCTGCATGTGTCCTTTCCTCCGATGGCTCATTTGTCCTGCAAACTCTGTAGCACAAATTTAGGCCCCAAAGGTGCTGTGCACAAGATCGTCTGTAACCTAGGGTCACCATGACAATATGACATATAATTCAGACCACTTTCACTATAGTACCGCTCAGGCAGTAAGGCAAGCCACCTGGCCCCTCTGCAAACAATCGATTGTTATCTTGAGCGCTTGTAGCTAAAACTGTTACATCTATGTTAACTCAGACTTCAGACACCCAGTCGGCTCCTGTAAGTACGAGTTTGACTCACTGCGCATTCATCTTCATGCACCCACTCTGCTTTCTTCTCTGTGTTCACGGCTCCCCAGGCTCAGACCCATGACTTTTGGGCCTTCCACACACATCTTCCACATCCCCCACCTGCTTTTTTGGCAACACACGTGATATTTGCACCTGTGCACACTGAGAAACTCATGCCAGCACATCCTAGTCCAGCCACACACGATATTCACATGCTGACGGCACTCTACCTGTGTATTTTCCCTCCGACACTCTCTCTCGCACACGGCTGTGGAAACTCGCCATGTACTGGCTTGATGGTAGGGATATGATTCTGCCTCAGGGCGGTGAGGAATACTGGGAGACACCTGAATGCAATGAGGTGATAGAGAAGGCTCACAATGTGATAGGAGTCCTTGCTGACAATCTCAAGGCTTCTGTTGTTTTGGGTGATCGCATGCGGTGGTGGATTTCTGCATGTGAATATATCGACACTGTCATTGGGATTGTGCCTTGCATGGCTTTGTGGAGTTATAGGGACAAGGGTGTTGGGTATAACACATGTAAAGATATGTTTGAGTGGCTGGACGCCATTTACGCTGAGTGGACTTCTATTCCTATGGTCCGCTTGTATGAGCTTGCATGTGAGCACTATCTGAAGTCCCTTCCAACAGATCTCATTGTCCCTCTTGTCATATCCCGGAATCCCGACCCCGCACACTCCCACCACACCACACCTTCCTAACAACTTCACCATCCCCTACACCATGCCTCCCCACTCCCCAAGTCACCTTCCCTCCTGACTGTCTCAGCTCCGGTCTGGTTGCGGCACACCAAACCTTGGCCACTCCCATCCCGGAAGCTCGGTCCCGAGTTGGAACATTCGGAGACTCCAGATTTGCTCCGAGACCCCGACGGACCTCCAACATCCCATGACATACCCTTAAACCATTTCTCCACCCATTTCATTTATTTGAGTCACCCAACATCCTTCGGATACGCAACTCCGCTTTCGGAGTTACCCGCATCCTTCGGTGATCTCACTCATGTCATCACTTATTAGTCACCTTCCATTCTTAGCATGACTATCTTCTTCTTATCATTCAGTCAGCTAACCCCCCTTACCCATTTCTCGTTCCCATTCATTTTCTGGCCTCTGACTCCACCCTCCTTGGCCTGACACCTCGGTTCCCCGTTAAAGATATCGTTTGGGGCCTTTTGGTACCTCTTGGTACCATTCGGCACCTTTCGGTGTTGTCCCATTGTCATTCAGACTTTGACTAAGTCCTTTCCATTCCCCTTTATAAATACCCATAGATTAGAACCTGTAGTTCCTCAGTTCTAATCTCGACTAAAATGCTACCCAAAGTCCCTCTGAGTGAATCCCATTCCTCTTCTACAAGATACCTCAGACATAAGAAATACAAGGACTAACTGAGATGTAACGGAGGCACAGCGCTCCCTCCGAGTCGCTGAGGCTGCGTCCTTCTTAGAGCCTCTTGTACCATCCAGCAGAACAGGGCTTCCTGGAGAAGCTTCAGTCCACTACCGGAGCTCTCGGATCCCCCTCTAGTTGAGCCCCACCTGCATTCGGACTCACGCATTTACCCCTACGATCCGGGTTTTTGACACCTCTAGCCTTTGCCACATTTTGCCCATCCCTTTCCCCTCTTCCCCTTGATCTTGTGGCTGACTCTGCACAAGCCGACAACGAGCCAGAATCGGATAAGAAAAACAAAGGTGGGAAAAGTACTTAGTGTGCTCTTGCCACCACAGGTGGCATCCACCAATCATACGCCAGTGTAAAGTGGGCATGAGACAACATGACACCAGTTGGTTTGATGGGGTATAGGAAGTGCAAAGTGCATTCGTTTAATCGGATAAAGCTAGGGGAATGAAGAGCATTGGCAAAGCTAACTGGTGGCAAGTAATGGTGAATGTAGCATGCTTATGGCAGACAAAAAGAAAAGGGAAAAGAACACCCATGTGCAGAAAGATGTTACCAATTTGAGGGAAAGATCAATGATGTTGGCAGAAAACATTCCTGTTCCGCTAACTTCACATGCAAAAGCCTTATCATAAGCAAGGTCAGGGCTGCACAGCAGTCATTTCTAGTATTTATATGAAGCAAGAAATTCGTCATGTGACAGATCAACTGAAAATGGCAGCAGAGTTGTCTGAATTGATTGTTATATTGTTATACAGTGTAGGCCGGTTATTTTTGATGTCTCACTTTGCTTCTGAAGAACTTTCCTTTCACAGCTTGCAACTCTGGCCTAGACTGCATGAAAGTTAGCAGGAAAGCATCATTTTTGATCTCTCTATCAACATATCAGACTGTTTTTATCTGATTTGGTGTAATAAAAAATTTCCGAGAAAACAAATGTCCACCTACACTTCCTAATTAGGAAGGTGCGCTTAAAGGCATCCAAGTGGTGAAGGAACACAAGGAGATTGTAGAGTATATTATTATAGCATCTTTCATGAAGATTACATGCAATCTAATGCGATTCTTGGGCGAAACCACGTGCTCCCAAGCATTGCAATGCAAACTCAAAATGCCTGCCTTAAATGCCCGCAAGCGCCAAGCACAAGAACAATGGTCAAAGGGCTCCAGGCAATTTGGCAAGCAGGTAAAATGCTCAGTTTCTGAGGCTGACTCTGCATCTGAATTCAGCGACATCCCCACTTCCAGCTCCAAAACTTCCAACAGCACCTCAACTGAGATCTGGTCCTGCTATGGATGGAACATTCAAAACTGCTGCAAAGGCTCTTGTTCCACAGTGCTTGGATTCCTGTGATCTTGTGACAATCCGTCGTTTTTTCCGAAAGACTTGGTGTTATATGGATGCTTATGAGTAAGATCTTGTGAATTCCAACTGCTCATTGATGCAATACTCAATGCTGCTTGCTACATAGAAAAGGTCTCACTGGTGTACAGGCCAAGTATGCTGTTCAGAAGTATAAGTCTCACAGACGAATCAAAATGGCTCTTTTCAGAAATTGATGTTTGATCAACAGTTTTCATTGGTGCAAGCCTCTCCCATTTCCCCACATTTTTCTCATGCATGGTTCATATTTCTAGAAACCGTGCACTGATTAAAAAATACATTTTCTCATTACCTGTCACAGCCATGCATTCCGGCCCATTCCCCGCCCGTCCCAATGCCGCCCGAGCCCGTTACCGCTATACGAGCGTGAGCGCGAGCCCCAACCTCAGCCCTATCCTCCCTGAGGACTCCCTGCTCACTCCCCTGCTTGCCCCTAGGCTCCCCTGCACCTGGCCGACTCCCCCACAGCCACACCAACCTTCCTGCCCTGAGTCTGCCTCCGGCACCATGTCCAGCGTGACTCCTCTACCCCACCCACTTGGCCCCTACAGGGCTGCTACCATTCCTGCACCTGACTCTGGCCCAACTCCGAGTCCAGCACTGCTACGATACCATTGCCGCTATCACGGCCCTACGCTCCTTTATTTATTTATCTGTTATTGTTGTTTTGACCCTCGGTCATTGCCAGCCGCTGTGCGGCCAACCCCACTCCTTATTCATGTTTGCTTCCGGACCCTTCGGCCTTCGGCCCGGGTCCGCTTCCATTCATTCCTTCCTCCTATATATATCCTGTATACTACACTATAGTACTTTAGCTCTAATATCGATGTGACCACAACCCCTAAGTCCTGACCCCAACAAGGCAACCCCAGTAAGTCTGAAATGAGGGCCAAGAGACAGCTAGGGGGCACAGCACTCCCTTTAGAGTTGCTGAGGCCAAATGCCCTACCCTCGGGCTTTGTTTGCGGCATCACAGCCATCGCGGCCTATGGTGGCCTGCAACGGCAACCTTCAGTGCCGACCCCGGACCAGTGTCTAACATTACCTCCACCTTCCAAATAAGGAAATTTCTCCTCCCAAAAATTTGTCCGCCTTGTCAAAATTTCGAAAACTTGTAAAATAATGCTTCATATGCTGTTTTTATAGTAGGATTTAAACCTGAGGCCAAGTTGACCAGTAGGATTTTTTGCTACTGATGTTACAAAAATGGGGCCGGAGGCACCCATTTTCGTCCATTCTTGACGCAGGAAAGTGGAAAGTGGAGGTGAGGTGGTTCATTAGGGTTTACAGATGGTTTCACAGATGTTGTAACATGAGGTTTAACAGATGTTAGCACAGCGGGTTTTTTGGTAATTGTTTGTTGTTTAATGTTTTCATTTCACGAGACTAATCACGGGGCAACGATCGAACTCGGCCCAGCCAACGCTATGACTTCCCCTGGCTCGATCACCCCGATGCACCTGTCTCAGCACCGCACTTGCCCCTTTGCCGCTTTCACGAGTTGCTGCGCAACCTGACCATTTGATGGACCCAGGGACCGTGCCTCAGTCGTATGCTGGGTTTTCTGGCGCGGATGCGCAAAGCGGACCACACCAGCAGAGGTACGTACTGAACTTCACTTATCACGAGAGTGCTCACGACAATTCAGGCCGTGCTTATAAAAAGGGCTTTCACAGCGCCCCCTTTTCCTTCCTTATCGCCTGAATCTCTCATGACTCTCGTTGGTGCGTACAAGGCCAACTTGCTGCTGTTCTTTCGAACTCACTCTCGTGATTTTGCCGCTGCTGCCGCTACTGCCTCCCTGTTTCCCTTGCTGCTTTTCCCCTCGACTCGCGCATATCCGCTGCTGCAGTCTCACACTAGTTTGTTTTCGCCTCTGACACTGATTCTTTGAATATCTTACGATTCACACACATGTCTGAGCATGCCCAGGCACAGGCAACAAGCGGTTCAGCGGATGCCCGACTTTCTCTCTTCGAAGGGCTCAACCTTGAGCGTATTGCAACGGGACCCATCGACACACTGCTCCTCGACCAGCTTGATAACCTCGACTCAGAATACTCAAATCGATCTATCGGATTGCATGGGGCTTATTGACAGCTCTGGGATCTCCTCAACCATGCCACCAATCTCAACAGCCAGCAACGAAGCGAACTTGCAGACCGATACATCGCCCGTTTTGACCAATCTGCGCAACTCAGAGAAGAATCAATCATTTGCGGAAGTCAGCACCAAACAACCTCCAAACATGTTCCATCAGGAGGTATCAACCGTTCCGATGACTGTACCACCAGAGTGCCCGAACAAGTCAGATGAACCCTCCCAACTGTTGGATCTTGCCGACAACGGGACGACGATGGGGAAGATGAGCGTGGGGGAACTACCAAGCGCCCGCGAGAGGTTGATGACGACCATGACGCTCGATATGCCTGGAACTGGGATTACCCAGGAGGTAACCGGCCCTGGGACGTTAACGACTTACTTAGTAACCAACAGAAAACGCGATGCTTGCGGAACATCTACAACCTCGACCCTAAGGCGGCGGTCCGAAGCCTTGCTGCATGCGGACGATCACCAGCCTTTCCCCATACACTCTGGCGCGACCTCATCTGTGACAAACACATCGACCTTGCTACCATCGTCGAAGACCACAATGCCGTCGCGCCCCAATACCACGACTCCATTGACCTTGGTGGCGGGGCCGAAATCACTCTTGGCAAGTCCAGCTCCAAGGGGAAAGCAAAGATCAGAACACAAGGGGAATGGATCACCGGCTTTGAGAAATATAAGCGTGCACTTCTCTACGCCTACCCGCATCGTCGAGAAGAGCTCGACACCTACTATGAACACATCCGGGACAAGTTCAGTGCCTGTGCTGACGAACTTTCTGTCATCAGTTACGACTCTGCAGTCCGGAAATTTGTCCAGGAACGCTACCATCTCTCCTTCACTGACTTCCACCTCTTTAGCGATATCGCCTTCAAACTCCTTAGACACAGCAGCGGCATCGCAGCCCACAGCGCGCAACTCCAATCTCGTGGAAGGGGTAAGCAAGGAAAAGGGACGGGAACCTCCCCCATCTGTGGCGAATTTAACACGAAGAAAGGATGCTCGTACAATCCATGCAGATTTAGACATGTCTGCCGGGACTGCGGTGGAGACCACCCCCGATTCAAGTGCACAAAGGAGCCAGGCCAAAAGACGGTCACCTGAGGAACTCTCTATGGGACTTGTGCGTGCTGGGCAGCGGCCGCGACATATGCGCTTTATATTTGGCCGCAATGACTATGGACGTACTCCTTCCGCTACATACACAGAAAGTGCGCAGCCAATCCCATCAGTCCCTCCTGGTGATTACAGATATACGAACATTTCCCAAATGATTGCTAAGCACCCTTTCCTGTTCAAAATCATTACACCCATCAATGTTGACTGCTTTGAGAGTTTGTTAGTGGGTCACCCAAATCGCGCGCTTGTGGAGTCGATGTGTCATGGATTGCGTCATGGTTTATGGCCTTTCGCAGACACTGACGATCCTAAGCTGCAACCTGAGGGTATAGTCGCGCGGCCCTCAGGCCTACCTAACCTCGATGATGAGTCAGTCGAGTTTCTTCGGCAACAGCGTGATGCCGAGATCGCTCTGGGTCGATACTCTGAATCCTTTGGAGTATCTCTACTGCCAGGAATGACAGCGCAGCCAGTGTTCACGGTGCCAAAGAAAGGTTCATCCAAACTTCGGCTTGTGAATGATCACAGCGCAGGAATGAAATCCCTCAATTCCCTCATCCCAACTGAGGGAGGCTTTGTCAAACTCGATAACCTCTCGGACCTCATGACCAACATTCGTGCACGGATGAAGGCTAATGGTGGTAAAAAACCTTATTACATGTGGAAGTCTGACGCTTCCCAGGCATACCGACGCTTACCCATGCACCCCCGTTGGCAAGCACGACAAGCTACACTGATTGATGGCCAGTATCATGTTGACAGATGTGCAGTGTTCGGGAACCGCGCATCTGGATGCCTATGGTGCTTGTTTTTTGGGCTGGTCTGCTGGATTGGCATACATGTCAAGGGAATCACTGACCTGCTGCATTATGTTGATGATGCCTTTTCGGCCAGCTTCTCACCGAGCCTCAGCTTTTATGTACCGTACAGCCGAAGCATGCCCGTTGGACAGGCCGAGTTCTTGCGTCTCTTGGACTGGATTGGGGTTCCACACGAAGATTCGAAACAGCAACATGGAAGGACCCTCGAGATAATCGGATTTGAAGTGGATCTGCCATCGATGTCAATCTGAATCTCAAGGGAGGCAAAGACCAAACTCGTCTCGGCGATTCATGAATTTATTGATAACCCACCTAACCCTCGACAACAGACTTTAAGGGCCTGGCTTCGAATCCTCGGCTACGCAAACTGGGTGCTCAATGTCTTCCCGCTCCTGAAACCAGCTCTCAATTCATCATACAACAAAGTCGCTGGGAGAAAGTTTATGAATGCCTTCATTTTCATCAACAAGCGGGTGAGAAACGATCTACTCTGGTTTGCAGAACAGGTCGAATCGTTGGAGGGCATCTGGGTGATGGATACCGAAGAATGGTGTGCCGAGGATGCGGATTTCCAGATATGGGGCGATGCTTCATCTATCGGTTTGGCTTTTTTCTCGCCAAAGCACAAGACAGCTTACATTGCAGATCCGGTGGTTGACCAAGAACGGAACTTCAACATTTTCTTCAATGAGGCAGTTACCGTCCTGGCCACCCTGGAATGGGCCGCTTCCATGACACCTCCTCCCAGACGTCTTGCAATCCACACCGATTCCACTACTGCTTTTTCAATATTCAACACCTTGCGCGCACTGGACATTTATAATCCGATTATCATGGCTTCGGTGAAAATTCGTTTGAAATCAAAAATCGACTTGCGTATTTTCCACATTGAAGGAAAAAAGAACATTATCGCCGATGCCCTATCAAGGCGGGCTTTCGCCGCTGCACGCTCTTATATGCCTGAACTCTCAATTAGGCACTTCACGCCCCCGCTGAACATGTCGGGGGCGATGAAGGTATGATCTCTCAACAAAGCTCCTTGACCAAGCAGCCCACCCGTGAAAAATGGTCGATGGAGCGTCTAATGGCGGAGCGGGCACGGGCTTTGGGAGCATCCCTGGAACGAAGCACGCACAAAAGTTACATTTCTGCCTTTATGTCCTATGCCGCTTTCTGCGAGACTCACGGTTTCCCGTTGAAACCATCTGAAAACACTCTTAGCTTCTACATCGTTTACATGTGCCATTACATCCAACCATCTTCCGTCAAAAGCTACTTGTCAGGGATCTGCGCGGAGCTCGAAGGTGCCTGGCCCGACATTCACTCAATCAGGAACTCCCCCTTCGTATCACGCTGCCTTAGTGGCTGCATGAAGCTGCACAACACCCCAACCATCCGCAAGAGACCTCTAATGGAGGACGATCTTATTGTGATCCAAAACAGCCTGCCACAATCCCCTGCCCACGATGACAAGCTTTTCATTGCGATGGTTTTGACTGGCTGGCATTGCTTGATGAGACTGGGTGAACTCGTGGACCCAGACTCTACTGCACTGCGCAACTTCCGAAAGACCATATGCCATCGCTCAGTTCGTTTTAACAAAACACCGCGCCCACACATTTCGTTTATCCTGCCAATGCACAAAGCTGACCGTTTGTTCGAAGGTTCTACAATTGTACTTGAAGGTCGGGATAATCGACTGGATCCTCTATCCACATTCGCGCAGTACTTGATATCGCGCGACCATGATTTTCCCCACCTTCCTGAACTCTGGCTCACGGCAAAAGGGACAGTGCCAACACGCTCCTGGTTCTTGAAACGACTTTATGCGGTTTTTCCAGACGACAACATCAGCGGACATTCCCTACGTTCAGGCGGCGCCACTGCACTTGCGCTGGCAGGAACGCCACTGCCCAGGATCCAATCTATCGGACGATGGTCATCAGAAACCTTTCTCATCTATATTCGCCAAAACCCTATCCTCATCCAGGGAACACTCTTGGGGAGATCGGCATTTGATGCCGGCTCTAATTAAGAAATCTCGATGAGTGCACGCGTCTACATCAGTCTCTTCACCACCACCATCCACCCTCTCCTGCCACCTGAATAGGACTAGATTGATACGGTTCACGTGTGTCTCGCGCCGCTTGCTTGCTCCCAATACATTCTGGGCCTCCTGGGCCGTCTCCCGCTACGACCTCAGTCAACCCTGATTAGTTGTTGTTTAATGTTTTCATTTCACGAGACTAATCACGGGGCAACGATCGAACTCGGCCCAGCCAACGCTATGACTTCCCCTGGCTCGATCACCCCGATGCACCTGTCTCAGCACCGCACTTGCCCCTTTGCCGCTTTCACGAGTTGCTGTGCAACCTGACCATTTGATGGACCCAGGGACCGTGCCTCAGTCGTATGCTGGGTTTTCTGGCGCAGATGCGCAAAGCGGACCACACCAGCGGAGGTACGTACTGAACTTCACTTATCACGAGAGTGCTCACGACAATTCAGGCCGTGCTTATAAAAAGGGCTTTCACAGCACCCCCTTTTCCTTCCTTATCGCCTGAATCTCTCACGACTCTTGTTGGTGCGTACAAGGCCAACTTGCTGCTGTTCTTTCGAACTCACTCTCGTGATTTTGCCGCTGCTGCCGCTACTGCCTCCCTGTTTCCCTTGCTGCTTTTCCCCTCGACTCGCGCATATCCGCTGCTGCAGTCTCACACTAGTTTGTTTTCGCCTCTCCCACCCCCTCCCCTTTCACCACCGATTACTTCGTTTCGTTTCCGATCTTGCGTGTATTCTGTTTCCATATATATCTTTTTCTGGTTTCCACCCGTTCCGGAGTTTGCATGTATTACTATCATCCGTTGTTCTACTTTCTTGTGTATTTCTGTTGTTTTGTCTGGAACTTCTTTGTACTTGTAGCCGGTTCACGCGTGTCTCGCGCCGCTTGCTTGCTCCCAATACATTCTGGGCCTCCTGGGCCGTCTCCCGCTACGACCTCAGTCAACCCTGATTAGTGATTGGTTAAACTCTATTTATTTACATATCATGTGATTTGGGTGTGTGCAGGGCCCATAAGAGTCTAAATCGGGAAATTTCCCATTTCCAGGTGCCGCAAATAACCGGCCTACACTGTAGTAAACCTGAGATCCTGCTTCTGACTCGCCCACTATAACTGCCATGGCATCTCCAGACGCTCCTTCGGGTGGACATATTCAGCCTAATCCGTCCTCCCCCCCAAGGAAACCAGCCAAGTACTATGCTGAGCATAAACGCGATGAACTTCAAGCTTATGGATTCGACGAACAAGTTCATAAACTGAAACCTTTCCAGACTTTTAAGGATGTCACCAACTTCTTAGGCGTTCCAGGAATTCGATCCCAGGGGGCCAGCGGAAAATTCACCCTTAAAACTTTCATTATGGCGGCCAACACAATGGCTCAATCCATACACCGTGAGCGTAAGTACCACTCTCCCTGCATTTTTCTGTTCTTTTTGGCATATGGCCTTGAGTTTAGATTTTGCGGACATGCCCCTCTTGGTGTTCAAGTCTACAGAAAACAAAATCCACCGTGGGCATGTCACTGACACTGGTTGCAAGCCGGATTATACTGCCGCTTTCGAAAAGGATTGGTTTCCCGATGGTACCACACTCTGGCCAAACATTCAATTTGCTGGTGAGAAAGCATCCGGAGGGAAGTCTAGGGACTCCCAAGAGAAGCAGGCCGTTTCATACCTACACTACCTCCTCCTTGCGAGGCCTGACCTCTTTGTCGCACAAGGAGTACTTGCCTCCAAAAAGAATGTCTTGTTTCTCTTTGGAATCGGAGGTTATGGCATACGCAGTTTCGAACTCGGGTGGGACGACAAACTTCTTCCCCATCTGATGTACGACATTATCTATCGACTTTACAAACCAGATCATTTTGCGGATGCAAGGTATACGAAGTGCCCCGCAGTGGACAATTTTGTTCCATATACTGTGTGCCTCCCTGGGGATAAGCCAGGGGAGACAATAACGTGCCCCAACTTCACTCCCATCTATGCCAGCAATCCCTTTCAGACCCGCACGCATGTCCTCTCAAGCCCAGACTCTGAAGTCTTGGTTCAGGGCAAACTCTTAACGGTGCTTAAAGACCAATTATGCCGAGTCGGGACCAGATCCGATGAACACACGATCCTCTCCATCATAGGGAAAATGCCCGGCGTGGTCGAAATGGTGTACCATCATGTGTTTGACCTTCCTCTGCCCCTTGGTGACACCCGAAGAAAGTATTTCACAGGATTGCGGCAATTTGGGAAACCTTTCACGAGCATCCCTACTCTGCGGCAGATGTTGGAGACCGCATATGATGTCCTGGAAGGTATTTTGGTCTTATTGGCTTCCTTCCATATATTCACATGTCTGCAGTGTTGCGGAATTTGCGTTTCGAATGCCAAATCCTACATCGCGACATTAGCAAAGGGAATGTTCTTTATATTGATGATAAGCCACCCCCGACGACAATTGCCTGTAGTACTCCACATGCCAACTTTATTGGAGCAAGCGAGGTGGCTATGGCCACTGCCACGGGCTCATCCCTTTGCTTCATTAAGTATCTCCTCAATGAGAGGTATGTTGCAGTATGGGGCAATGGGGTGGTCACTGATGCAAGACTGAACCTAGCTGTGATCCCTGCGAAACATCGGCACTGCTCATTGATTTCAACCATGGTGAACATCTTACACGCAAACAGAGTCAGCACAAGCGAACTGAACGAACGGTCAGTCATGTCTTATCTTCTCTTTGTAACCTATTTCATTTGCATTGTTATCAGGGCACCCCTATCTTCATGGCCCGTGCCCTTCAACTGAGGAAACCAGTTCCACTTCGCATTCCCTCAATTCTCGCTGCGGTACCTGATAGTCCTAAACCCTATACTTTGGCCCACCCGGACCGTGTTGCGAAATTCCCGTCCACACCGTTGAGATTGCTCACTGACCACCCGGGTGGTCGTAACAACCGCGAATGGAGGCATGAACTCGATCACGATGCGGAGTCTGTCTGGTGGTTACTCCTTTACTGGACGGTGACCGCACAACCCAAAGGGGAGCCAGATGAATTTATTGCTCACTCCACCTGGTCGATTTTAACAGGAGATCGTCGGGGTAGACTGATTCGTGACCTGGCAAGTACACCCGGAGAGCCGGACGAGGGCACTGGGACCGAAATCCACACCCTCTACTACAAACCACTGTTGCCTTTGCTTGGTAGGCTTGCCGAGATTCTCGTCATTGACAGATATTGGCTGGAGGACTCTGAAACACGAAATGCACCACAATATGTTAGCGAGGCATTTCAACGTTTGATCCTCCAATTTATCCTTGACAACCGTGAGGCGGATTTCATGGTGCGCGAGGTTAAGGAGCGCCCCCGTCGAGTTGAAAAGGGCTCGCAAGAGCCAAGCCATTCTGCCACAGCCAGCCAGAGGAGGAATGCTGAGGTCAGTAGCAAGATCAGTAGTAGACGCTCATCCTCCCTTTCCTCAATCCAGGAGGAGCACATCACGCAGCCTGCCAAGGAGGTAACGGAGGTATGCTATTGAGGCATTCTTTGGTCTTGGATTCCTGTCTCCTACGGACACGCTTCCTTAGGACAGTGCACATGGGGGTGAAGATATGGATTGGTCTGCCGACGAAGAGTTTATGAAGTCGAATAATATGTAATCCCTGTCAACAAGCATGTAATATAATTTGTTCCGCTGCTTGAGGTTGAAGTGCTTGAGTCAGCGAGGTACCCAGTTTGACGTGTTCTTGTTAGGCTCGTTGAAAGTCGTTAACCCTCGACTGGCATCACACTGTGCGTCACCCGATCTATAGCATAGGCGCGATTATACTATAAAGTGCTATAGTGGTCAAATGGAACTATAGGCCATATTCTAATTGCAAGTATCCTCATACGACACCCCACTGTCTATTTCACCTTCTACTGATTGGCCCTGCCGCCACCAGTCGGGAACAAGATCGAACAGTTCACGAAATTGTTAGATGTGTGTGTGTGTGGGGGGGGGGTGAATGTGTTCTCAACCAATATTCCGACGCCAAGAATTAATATTTGGTGGGGTTCCGGAACGTCTATACAACCCGGATGATGATTGGATCAACACTTCGGATTGGAATGGTTCTGACTCTGGTGACGCAGACCCACAAGACCACCAAACTTGATGTTCGAGCGTTCATTCTCAGGCTGGTCCATCGGTTGCTTGTATTACATGCAGTTCAACGCAATATGCGTAGATCGCTTCTCGTTCGATTTCGTTTTATCGTTTAAACCATCACCCATTTTTGTTCCTGTAATTACGGATGGGTCTCTTCGGGCATGTTGCAATCGAGCGAATGGGGCCGGGGCATTTGTGGTACCTGATGGCAAATCCTATTGTTGTCGATCCAGAACACCCTGACGCGGTCAATCTCAGCCCACGGGTTTGAGGCGTTGCGGCACCAGAAGCTCGCACAAACGAGGGTGGATGTCGGGATGTGCAGCGTCCATATCATGGAATCCACTCTTTGGTTCTCGGACTGCCTACTCTCCAATTTTTGCGGCAGGGTTACCTCCGCGCGAAGGCAAGTATTGCGTTATTTCTTCCTTGGTTTTCCGAAGCAGACTAGACCTGCCCAAATATTAGGGTATGTCGTGCTCGCAATTGAGCATAGGGCCGGATAGCACGCGCGGGGTCATCAGTCAAGATTCGGTCAGCGAATTAGAAGATCATCCGTACGTTAACTTATACTCGATACGATGAAGTGGGCCGCGCCGGGTGTGTGTCATATATATCTCCTTCCTTATGCCGGGATCGTCTGAATTTATTCTTCTCTTCACAGTTGGGAGCGAGCACACCAAACTCGCGGGATTATATCCATTCCGAGCGGAACAGCTGGTGTTCCGTACAAAATGAAGTCTAATGAAAATTTATACCACCACTCCTTCAAAGCCCTCGTCGTGTCGATGTCGACGGTGATGTGGGAAACATAAGTTAGAAGCGAAATTAGCGAGTCCGACCGGCCATGATTTTGTCTCGATGACTTGCACTTTACAAGCCATTCCTTTGGTGGTGCCACCGCCGTGGTGAGATCTTATGCCCCATGCATGGTTTGTTTCTTGAAGGGTTTCCTGCTGAATGTCTTTTTGACGATAGTTCGCCTTCCTTCGACATCAACCCTTCCTTTGAAGAACATAGTGTAAATAGATACTTGGATCGACATAACTAGCTACTATACTATACTGACGTCCCGCTAATGATGAAAGATTTCCTACTCGGTCCAAGTATCACTCCGTATGCACGGTAAGTATAATACGTACGTGTCCATGCATGAAGCAGGTGACCAGCTAGCATCTATACATAGCATAAACATGTCCATCCTCGACGCCGAGAGAGACGGGATATATTAGCCTAGGGCGCTTTTGGAATGGTAGCTGAGGTATATGTCGTTGGGTGATCCATGGATTATTAAGCTCGGGTGTTGTAACGTATACAGTGCAGTGCGGTGCAGCCTTCGTTAATTTTGCTTGATCATGACGCCAGTGACTTGTGCGGAACGGAACCAGACACAACCCGAGCCTGTTTCTTGCTGGGGGGTGGACTACTGGTAGTAGTGGTAGGACAGCTAGGGGGACAGGATATCGATCAAACTGGGCAAGTACTTTAGCTATAAAAGCCTAAGCGCGGATTAGCTCCGAGCGATCAGCCGGACATCAACTCCGGACACGTTTTTTTGGTTTTGTCGCAACGTGTGTCAGCGAACAATAATAATAAACAATAATAACAAAATCAAATATTTTACGTGTAGGTGTAGGTTGTTGGGGTGTTCGAAACTGAAACATCTCTTGAATCGGGTGGCGCATAAAAACCAGATTGACTTTCTTCCGAGATTACCGCTACCAGTTAAAATAAATACATATAAAAATAATAAAAATAAAATCAATCCATTCCATCATAACATCATCACTCCATCATCATTTATTGTCATCATCATCTCTTGCCGTCGGGAAAGGATCCAGATCTTCCGGGGAATTCCGCTCCAGCTTTACCCCCCCCCCCTTCCTCCTCTCACTTTTTACTCAGAGGCCAAGTTATTGGATTTTGCGTTGGGTTTATCTCGATTCAGTTTTTTAAGGGACGGACTTACCACCCGAAAAGGAAGATCGTGTAATATGATATCGTATACAATTTGCAATGTAGGTTCCGGGGGAAGCTGATTGAGTCGGTGAATTCCGACTTCACCTGAGTTGATGTAAGCAGCCTCCCATCGGAGACGGACTTTTTGGAACAAAGAAGCGCTCGATGTTGAAACGTTTAAGGGGGGGAAGGGCAAAATTCTAATCTGGTACAAAGAACACCTACTTAGTATAGACACGGTCGGTCTGGACAAACAAAGGGTAGGTCGGATCACGTGCCTCTAAGCTGTTTGATGATTTTATATTCAAATTGAAACTTCGTTCAATTTATTTCTTTCGAATCAAATCAGGAATAACATAAGATGGGGTTGTTGAATGTAATATGTAAATTGGCAATTTCTTTTTCTTTTTTTTTGTTTTGTTCCCATCCGGCGTCGTATTAGTACTACCACTTGAACCCATCTTGTCGTCCCATCACCATCGCTCTCTCTCTCTCTCCCTCGGCGCCCTTGACGACTTTCTGTCTCTCCTTCTTGTCATTCTATCTCTATTTCTATCTCTCTCTTCTTGAACAGCCTACTATTCTTCACCCGACCCTGACTGAGGTTCCCTTAACACACAACAATCAAAACTAACACACTCTTCCCCCTCTTCTTCTAACCTTGCCCATCAATCACTCCATCAATCACTTCTTACTCAGCTCTCTTTCACTCACAGTCAGAGTCTACTACCCCAGTTTCCTTCACTTTCATAACCACTGCCCCTCTCATCTTTCCACCCGACAGCCTCAGCTACCCACGACGACGGCTTCTAACGCTCTTATGGCTGTAACAATAGACGGAGGTGAGATTTATTTTTATTTTTATTTGTCCTGATCGTTCTCACACTCGCATTCGCACTTCAACGCGCTCCGCAACCACCTCTTCCAAACCCATCCCTAGTTCCAACCTTCGTCAACGCCCGCTCAGCAGACCTCATCCTCTCAGACGTTCGACCGACATCCATCACGACCGAAGCCCTCCGAGCCGTAAACATCCTCCTAGACGAAATCCTATGGCTCACCCTCGCCAACGCTCGTTCTCTCGATACCACCAGAGTTAAAGTTGGAGTGTTGAAGAGCGTTACCACTCAGTTGGGTAAGGATGCCATTTTGGAAGCTGAGATCGAGATTAGGGGCGCTTTTAGTAGGGATAAGAGGATGGTGATACCGGGGTCGAGGATGGGTAGACCGTCTGATAGTGTTCTTTTGGCTTTTCCTGTGCAGGAAGCTTTTGAGGTATGTGTTTTTTTGTTTTTTGTTTTTTGTTTTCTCTCCTTCGTGTTGTCGTTGGAAGAACTCACTTCCTTGAACCCTGTGCAATGCATGCGGGTCCCTACCTTCTTCCTCACACGTTCCAATACAACTTGATTTTCGGTTTTTTAAGCTCATTATATCACTTAGTTCCTCCGATTAAAATGCCAGCTCATGTCGAGCTTTGCGGAATTCGACGAGGATCCTGAATTGGAGGCAAAATTGTTGGAGAGGTTGACTGCTAAATCGACTGTACCCCTCGGTGTGGAACAGATGGAATCTTCGCCGCTTTACTTTACGGCTGTGATAGAGTACGTTCCAACTCCTTCCGATCCTTCTCGATTTGAGGCTTTGTAAACTCACTTATATATCTTTATTTCCACCTCTTTTATTTTATTTTCATTTTTCGTGCTTCTGTTTTTCCATCGACGATCTCTCTCTAGACATATTTCCCAGTGCGTACGCTACCTTATTCCAAACTCGTCGAACAAAGTTAATGGTAACATATATATATATATAATTTAATTTAGATATGTACTGTCGAGCATCGCTAGGGTTGTTGCACGCGATAGCAGTCGAACGACGGCTGACTTGACTGTTATTTACGCTTCGTTGTGCGAGGATCCACTTATATACCCGTTTTTCAAGAATATGAAAGGTGCGTTGTTTTTGGCTTGGCTTTTCATCTTGAATGTGTGTGGCGATGGTGGTTTTTCTTTTTTCTTTTTTGGGCCCCCACTCCGCCCCGCCCCCTCCCCGCGCTTTCACCCTTGCAACTCCCATTCAATCCCACTCAATGTGAATGTGTGTGTGGCTGGGAAGGAGAAAGCTAGGGTTAAGGTAGGGACGGTACGGACAGAAGATTGATGGGAGGTCGTAGCCATAGCGATCCATCCAATCCCTTTCTCTTCTTGCTTTAACGTCCGGGTTCCATCTCATATCGCACCTTTTTTGCTTGCTCGTTTCTCTCTCTTTCTCTCTCTCCCTCCCTTTCGTTTCTCCCCCCCCCCTCCCCTCTCCTCTTCGCTTGCTTCTTCTTCGTTGTTTTGGACTAGTCTGGTTCGTTTGTTCCAGGGTTTGTTTACTGATCTCTCGCTCTCTTTCTCTTTCTCTCTCCCTCCGCCTACACTCTCTACCCTCGTCCGAATCGAATCGAATCGAATTCGCTTGCCTTGCTGTGGATATTTGTTGAAAAAACACAACGAAATGTTTCGTTTCCTGAAATTCTCGCACTCTCGAACGGGCTCGACATCTTCGGCAACCGCAACGACAACGACACCGACGACGACGACGACGACGACAATGTCAACTGCGGCGTTGGCGGCGGCATCTACGCCACATTTAGTTCATGGCCACATTCAAGCACGTATTCAACGATCGAGTGGCAACAAACATTCTCATTCGTCTTCTGCTTCTGTGTCTCCTTCAATGCAATTGTCTCCTTCGTCGTTCAAAAATCCTCAGTTGGGTGGTGGTGGTGTCATTAGTGATGTGGGAGGGTCAACGATGGTATCGAGGTCTTCGGCCGAATCGGGTTCGCAAAAGGCGATCGTTGGTGGTTCCAGTATTGGTGGTGGTGGTGGTAGTGGTAGTGGTGTTCGGTCTTCTCTTTTGAGGAGTCGTGAGAGGGAGAAAGAGAGGGATGGGAGTTTGGATGAACGTGCTAGTTTGGGGAATGCACGCAAGGGGTCTACGGATAGGAGTCGGATGAAAAAGTTCTTTGCTAGCAGTAGCAGCATCAATGGTGGTGGTGGTGGTGGTGGCGGTGGGGTCACGTCGTCGATCGAAAGTTTGAGAGGGGCTGGGAGCGTCGGTGCTGGAGGTGGAGGCGTGCCGCATAATCGGACGCAGAGCACTATGAGTCTGGTGGGGTCGAAGAACGCTATGAGCACTGAGAGTGTCATTTCGGCATCGAATCCTGCTTTTGTGAGTTTGCCCCTTGACCTTGACTTGAGAAATATCCTTACTGTGCAATGGGTTTTTTTCTTACTTTCTTTCCTTCTTTTTCCGTCTCTTAGGACGAGGGGCAGGTGAGATTCGAGGAGTTGTTGGATTCGGGTGGGACGATGAAGGTTTCGCTTACTCCGGATCGAATGAGGACGTTTGAGGTTTGTTGCGTCTCTTTTATTCTGGCTTTTTCTAATCTCATCTCTTTTTCGGCTTTGGCCCAGGTGTTTTCGAAGTCAAAGTCATCACGCGGTCGCGCCATGTCAGGGACACGAAGTGAAGGCTCTCCCGTACGAGATCAGGACGTTTCTCGCAAGTCTCCTGGTCAACCTAAGAGTGCACCTTTGACGCCTCGATCACCCTATCGAGAAGATATGGATGACGATGATGATGAGGGTGGGTCAGGGTCCCCACGGAGTCGTTCGCGGAGTCTCGCGGAGTTTTTAAGCGAGACGGGTCCGCCCGGTGGGACGATCGACGAGGTTCCACCTTTACCTGCTATTCCAACGATGCACCGGGCACAGCTGAGAGGCACCGTCACGAATGTTCGGGGTGGGGTTGATCCTAACGGGTATGATGCCTTGGCTACTGCGTCCGCTTTAGCATCCTCTGTCTCTTCCCCCCCCTCCACTAAGGCTTCGCGTCCTCAATCACTTGTGAGTTCTAGAACTGTGGTTGGGATTGAGAACCAAGCACCACCGAATTCGCGTGCGACTGGGTTGTGGCCTGCTACGCATCCTAATGCCCTCGGTTTGTCATCTCGGAGTACGTCTAATGGAAGTTTTGATGAGAACGCCAGGGAGAAGGTCGGGGAGAATTCTGCCAAGGATGGGCTTCCGCGTACGGTAAAGAGGAAAGCTCTCCCTGGCCCAGCAAGGAATCGGGACTCGGTGGATTTGGACGAGTTGTTGAAGGACGATACTGATGGGAAAGTGGAAGAACCTAAGGACGACAATCTTGTGCCTCCGGTTGTGCCCGTCCCTAAGCGGAAAACGTCGAACCTGGAGGCCAAGTCCGCTATTGCCACGTCTTCGAGCTCGAGGGATTTATTGATGTTCCTTGAGTCTGGTCCCCCCGATGATGATTGTCCTCCGTCACCCCTCAGTCAGACTCCTTCCACTACTTCCGTATCACGTTCCAAAAGTGGACGCTTCCTGAGCGTCATGTCTCGATTCCGTAAAGGGTCCAACGATAGCTTATCCTCTTTGGCTCCTTCTGAGTTTGGAGTGCAGAGGAAGGCGAACGCGAGTGTCATGCCACGACATCGATCTCAGAGTAACCTTACGTCGTCGTCGGCAAGGTCGATTGGTGCACTCCCTCCACCCCCTCCTTCAGCTTGGACTCCGCCCATTCCGCCTACGCCTCCCAAGCCACCACAACCTGATCCGATCATACCGCTTACACCCATGCCTAGTAGTGAACCTATAGTGGAAGGTCGGGGGCCTGTTACTCCTTCTCCTTCTCAAGCTAACGCTGGTGGTGGTGGTGCTGCTGCTGCTGCAAGCACCAAAACAACGACTCAAAAACAACAGCAACTACGACAGGTTTCGTCATCGCCCTCTGTTTCTTCTACACCACCTGCACAAGTCCTTCCTTCACCTGTTTCGATTCGTTTCAAGCCCGAGAATATGGACGTCATTCGAACGTCGATCTCCGTTGCACCACCTGAGAATCGCGAGTCTTCACGGCAACAGCAGCAGCAGCAGCAACAACAGCAACAGCAAAAATCCGTCCCTCCTGTGTCGAACTTGGTGACAGTTGACGTCGCTCGGGATAGCTCCATCTTTATACCAGCTCGGAAAGTTACGCCTCCACCACGTTCTCCTCTGCGGCCGTCTCCCGGCGAAACGTCATTTACCACTGCTGTTGAAGAGATGTCGCCCGTACGGCCGACGTGGGATCCTCAAGCACCACCTTCTCCTACATCTCCTGTTAAACATATACCTCCACCCACCACCACCACCATCACCAAGTCTCTCGATGATCTCGCTGTTATTGGAGTGCGCAACAATAACGACGACGACAACGACAATTTCAATGGTGGTGGCGAAGTCAACCACCCAGCACCAGCACCACCACCTGGATTAGATGAGTTGGTCACAACATCGACGACGACGAATATGGAAAAACCCAATCCCATCGACGACGACAAGTTCTGGCATACTCACGCTGAGGAACTGAGGCATCTTTTGCGCCGGGCTCAAGATGCGGATGAGAGTCGGTTGTTGTTGGATATGTTCCTTAGTCGGATGGGCGTTCCTTTTCCTGTTACCCCCCGTGACGACGTACCTTCGTCATCATTGCCATCGCCATCGTCATCGTCATCATCATCATCATCATCAGAGCAGCAGATACCGTCGCGGGCAATACCGAGTGGAGATGAGTCTGCCGTCGTTGAAATGTTCTTGGGGGATGGATATGGAACATGGACTGCTCGGAACGTCGCTTGAATGGTCGTGCTGGAACCGAGTATCATCAGTGTCTCAAGTTGATTTTCCTTTTCCCCTTTTCTTCTTTCCGTTTCTCCTCTCCAATTTGTGTCACGCATGTTGAATACTGCCCTTCATAGGCCCACCATATATCCATAAATCATTCCCATCCTTGGTTGTCTCACCTCATTTATTCCCCTCCCTCCCCCTTCCATTCCCGCCACCCTTTTTTTTTTTTTGCAAAAGATCACTTGCAAAATTACTTTATCTGATTGGCATTTTCGTTTATTCTCACCCTTGTTCTGATGTCTCATCCCCCATTTTCCCCCACCATCCATCCATTCACTCCTCTCCTTCCGTCTTCGTTCCTTTTATTGATAATTTTCCAACTTCAGCATGGCTGCAGTGTAATTAGAATCTGTCGAGACTTTTGGGGCTCGTTGTACTACAACAAGTACATTATCTGCTTATTATGGAAATAGGATCTCACCGGCATAAGAGGAAGAAAAAAAAAAGCAAACAAAAAGCAAAAGTAGAAGAACGCCCACCCATCTCACACACACGACTCTTTAACTGACCTCGAGGGCAACACCAATGCCTACTGACGCGAGTTCGGCACATAGATAACGGAAGGCGAAAGGAATGGCCACAACGTCCATGTTCGATTTGGGTTGGGCGAGAAGGTTCTGCCGCGGAAGAGCCACGTTCACCTTTGCCTTACCTACGAACGAGGCGGCCGAATCGTCTCCACCAAACTCGCGCCGCGCAAGGGTGTCCTCCTCTTGGACTTCCTCCCAACACGCGCGACAGTAAATGTTGTCTCCTCCTACTTTCTTAACCTTCCCCCTCCAATCATCACCGACATTACCACTACCATGCTCCGGAGGGCCCGTCAAAATGTCCTCGAATCCCAGCGCGATCATACTCCCACAGTTTCGACAGACCCAGGCTAATGAATAATCGGAACAATTCATGAGACGGTCTTGGAGGAGGAATGACGTTCCGTGGGCGATCAGAGCGTCGCGCTCCATTTCACCCATACGGATACCACCACCACGTCTCCGGCCCTGATAAAAAAAGTGACACAATTAGCGTTCTTTTCTTTGGACGGAACTCCCAAACCAAAATAAATAAATATTTTTGCAACTGTGCCATACCTTGACGGGTTGACGGGTTAGCGGGTCCACGGCGCCAGTGGTTCGAACTTGCCACTTGTCGTTCACCATATGTCGAAGTCGTTGATAGTAAACGACACCAAGATAGATGTCCGCGGCGAATTCTTGTCCAGTCACTCCCGAATACATGGGCTCGTTGCCGTAGTAATTGTAACCGGCCGCTTTGAGCTGCTCTCCAAAGTAGTCGACAGCCGTCTGGTCTTCGTTGAACCTAAGATAAAAAAAGGGGATTCAAAAAAATAATAATGATAATAACCCTTCAGGGGTACGCACAACAATAACAATGACTTACTTGAACGCAGACCCATCTTGCGCGAGTCCGTGCATTACTCCCGCCTTCCCGGCCATGCTCTCCACAAACATACCTATTGTCATCCGACTAGGGAAGGCATGAGGGTTGATGATGATATCGGGTTGTATACCACTCTCGCTGAAGGGCATGTCAACAGAGGGCCACTTTTGCGAGCAAACACCTTTCTGGCCGTGACGAGAGGAGAATTTGTCCCCTATCACTGGGCCACGTGGAATCCGCAACATGACTTGAATCCTCTGGGCCTCCGTGTCACCAGCATCTCCACCTAAAAGGATTTCCGTGAAGGTTGGCTCTTGTCATCTGAACAGCTGCCTGCTTACCTATGATACGAACCTGATCAACAATAGCCTCTTCATCCCCTTTGTACCGCTCGAATCTCGTGCCCCCCGAACTATCATCAACATATGCGGCGATAGCATCGTGATATTTCAACTTTGCCCCGATAATGGGGAAACCATCTATGTCCACACTCGTTCTGATGATGTCGTCGTCCAGAACGTCAGGACCGATTCCGAAGTGTAAAGTTGGTGCTTTCGAATCCTTCTTACGACTGCCACGACTCCCCTTGGTTTGCTCCAAATTAATTTCATGTAATTTGTAGACGGTGCCGTACCCGAAACCCCGCTCATGAGCAGACTTATTTAGAATCATAGCGTCTTCCATATCATAACCAGTATACGAGATGACAGCAACCACTGCATTCGTGCCATTAGGGAAGTGGTCCATGCAATACGAGTTGTGAATTTCGGGTCGTACAACCGGAGTTTGACCAGACTGCAAGCGATATAATTTGGAATCAGAACGATGTTGAAGTGCGATGGCTGGCGTCCCCATCGCTTGTTTGCCCATCTGGCACTGGTAAATGTTACGAGGACTCTAAGAAACGAATCAAGGCAAAATCAGCGCCCTTGACAGGGGTTGTACGTGGAGATCGAGCTCACTTGGTTGAAATCGGAAAATGGAGTGAGTCCTGCAATGACGGACAAGAAATTGGTAGGGTTAAGCTCGACGTGGGTGGTAACGCCCTTTTCGATCTCCTCCGGTTTGACAGCGATATCCATATACACTTGTTCGAAAGGGCCAATGGAGTCTTCTTCGCCATTCAGAAGATACCTTACTGGTCGCATCATCCTCGCCCGGCCCGAGAACAAGTACAGGCCGGGATACTGTCCGCCCTCAGAGACTGGTACAAAGCCAATCTCCAAGTCAAGAGGCACTCGATGCTTTTTTTCAGTCTTGGAAATGCGAAGTATTTCTGCAAGCCTTTGACAGAGGGCCGGGGAGGCCCACCCGATGACTTTTCCATCCAGTTGAACGCATAGATTTTTTCCCGAGCGACCGTCGATGTAAGTCGCAAATGGCTGGGTCATGCCAAAGGAGGAGAGGAAGGAGGGAATATGAGAAACGGACAACGCTTCCGTGATTATCCGGCAAGAGCGTGAGAAGTGGTTAAGCAAACCGCAAGGCGAACCGTCGGGGGTGTGCACGGGGCACACAAAGCCTAACCAATCACTCTAAATTAGCTAGCAGATATATCCCTTGATTACAATAACTTACCCCACCCTTCGGGTAACAATTTACGGACCGAGGTTGTTCTCATGCTCTGAAAGAATGAACCTCGATGCACCGATTGGAAGTGGCTGAGGAAACGGTACCAGTTCAGCCTTTCCGCAACAACTGAGAAACCCGAGGTTTGTTGTAGATCGAGATTAGAACTCGCCGAAAGATTCCCAGTAGCCACGAAGTTTGACATCTTGGCGCCAATGTCGAATGACACTTTGGCCATGACTTTAGCCAGATAATTACCTGTATGTAAGGAAATTACACGTTAAGCAGTAGAAACGTAACTGGGATAAGACACGAAATAAGAGTACTCACTGTCAGCAAAGTTGGTCACCTCTCTTCTTTCCATACTGAGAAGGAAACCGCTTTGCAGGGCATTTAGCAATTCCTGGAAACGATCTTTGAGGTACATCCCAAACAGAAAGCCGGGAAGCAGTAACTCTTGAAATTGTGGAGAGTCCAAATTGTCCAAAGACGACTCATGGGATACAACAGCAAAAAGCTTGCGGATCATGAAACTGGCACATGGAACCGATCAATTGGCACGCACAACATCCAGTAACGATATCGAATGACGTACAGCAATAACCGGTACTTGTCCCGATGGTCATCCAAATGGACAAGTACAACTTTCTTGATGAGTGCCTCTCCCACTTGCCTATTTGTCCAATCCAGAGGCAGACGGAGAACAACCCTGAATTTCTCCCCGAGGAAGTCCAGACACTGCTCACTAGAGAATAGTCCATAGGTTTTGAAGTTCCGTAATAGAACTTCCACACGATCCATCAAGAAAGTATTCTGATAGTCACCCATCATGATACCCTCAAAAATCTCCTTGTCGGAAGGACTGATCAAGGCCTTAAGAATGAAGATGACAGGAATGAAATATTCCCGATTTCGCAACCCAAACCGAAGCATCACGCCCCCATTCGACAGATAATGGATAGAGTTTGTCAGACTGCTCTCATCAGGGCGTGTGCACCGAATGGTGACAGCGTATGTAGTGTAACTACTTCCTCGCTTCGCGAACGCACCCCGGGATAGCGCAATAGGAAGGTTGCGTCGCTGCACAACGAGAATGCGGATAAAACGCTCAATGCCGTTGACGATGAAATATCCACCAAACTCTTCCGCTTCCTCATGATGTGCTACCAATTCAGCGGGCGACATGCCTCGAAGGTTGCAACGATTTGACTATTAGCCAGTTTTTAGATGCATGAATCGACGATGAGAACGTATCATCACATACTCCAACCATGATGGGAACGGAACCGCATTCTTTTGTCTGAATAATCTCATCTCCATTAACTTTGACAGAGAGTTTTATGACTAGTTTCCCTCGGTAAGAAACCATTCTTTCGCGAGCCTATAAACTTAACAATTGGTCTCACAGAACCTAGGGGTCTACCGTCGTACCTCATGTGGATAGAAACGAGTGTCAGTTACGCTGGCGGGTAAGATTTGACGCGGGGATATCGTCGGCATGCTGACAGTGGCAGAAAGTATTTTGACTGCCATAATTTAGCACCAAGAGCTGAGGCAGTTGAAGAACTAGAAAAATCCTCACATTCCAGTCTGTTTCCCGCTTCTGGTCCTGTAGCGTCAAAGACGACTCGTGGCTCTAAGTCTTCGACGGCCTTTTGCAGCAAAGCACGGTTTCTCCCGTCCTCGAAGAGTGCATTAAATGAGTCGATGTGGGCAGCAGCTGTCTGACTGATGAGGGGAATATCTGGCCCATGGGTGGATGGGTGTCTAAAGATTCGCTCCCGCTCTAGAGTGTTGTAGCCCGAAGGATTCTTCGTCCCCATAGCGAAACTGGAAAAGAAAACCTCTACGGTGTTGCCTCAGAAGCTCAGCAATGCTTTTAAGAAGATATTTACGGCCGCAAAGGCTAAGGACCGACTTCATTTTTTCAATTTTCTCCACGTGATAAATTCCCACGTCTGCATGCAGATCACTGGGCAAGGAACTCCAGCAGATAATCACCCAGTCTTCACCTCTCTTCCATACGGAGTGTGGCAATGACCGATATAATTGTGTACGATCCAGCTGATTTTCACGTCCATCTTCGGCAAGGACAGCTATCTCGCCTTGTCACACCTCATGTTGCCAAAGGCGGTTTCAACTTGGCCTATGTTATGGTACCCAGGGCTCACCGTTTCCCGTCCCTGGTTCCTTTTATGACCTATGACCCACTTCGCCTTATAGCCTAACTTGAAGCCCCCGATTACGACAACCGACCTAGCTCTCGCCTATAAACAGAGCCTGGAAGCGATCGATCCCAATATCGAGTATCTCATGACCCTGTATCTATCGCCCGAGCTTACTCCAGATGAGATTCGGAAGGCAAAGAAAGCCGGGATAGTTGGTCAGTTGATTGCCATGTTGGGCCACTGAGGCGCCCGTTTCTTGGCTCATTATTCTCAGGAGTGAAGTCATACCCACGGGGTGTCACTACGAATTCAGATGGAGGAATTGAGTCCTATGAGGTATATGACCCTATATTCAAGGCGATGGAAGAGGAGGGATTAGTCCTCAACCTGCACGGGGAAGTCCCCTCTGATCCCGAATCAGTTCGTGCTGTTTTCCTTCCCGGAGCCATGCTAGATCTTAGGCAATTCGGATGATCCATAGAATATTTGCGTGTTAAATGCGGAGGAAAAGTTTCTTCCGCATCTCGTAACATTGCACAGGAAGTTTCCGAAGCTGAGAATAGTTCTCGAACACGCTACGACGCGCGCTGCAGTGGAGACTGTCAAGACTTTGGGGGATACCGTTGGCTGTACCATCACCGCCCATCATCTTAGCCTCTCAGTTGATGACTGGGCAGGTCAATCTTTCCATTTTTGCAAGCCTGTTGCGAAATACCCCAGTGACAGGCGGGCTTTGCAACAAGTCATATACGAAGGTAAGCCCTTTCAAATATCATGACGCCAAATGTCAAGTCCACGCGGCTTTGTGTCGGGTCAGGTCATCCACGATTTTTCCTCGGCTCCGACTCTGCTCCTCATCCGATAGTTTCTAAATCCACCGCCACACCAACTGAAGGGTGTGCTGCAGGAGTTTATACATCGCCCATTCTTCTTCCTCTAGTTGCACATCTCCTCGAGTCCTTTGGAGCTTTGGATAACCTTCAAGCATTCGTGAGTGGCAATGGGAGGCGCTTTTATGGCAGAACCAGGGGGAAAGACTCCCCGAAAGCTGTGCGTGTGGTCAGAGAGAAGTCAAAGGTGGAAGCGGTCTCAGAATTGGATGGCATCAAAGTGGCGCCGTTTTGGCTCGGAAAAGAACTCAACTTCAGATTAGGCTCATTATAGCCCCTTTGTCTCATACGTGAAATCATATTTCCCGCAGCCGTAGCCGCGCGCGCCTACTCACTAGCATCACGTGTCGGTCAAGCAACAAATACTTGGCTTCCCATACGTGAACCTCTGCACCGCTTCTCCCCAAACCATTCTCGGATTCCTGGGCAGTTTTCGAGCCACCCGGTTAGTGTGTGGCTGTAGGGAATCTTCGATCTATATCTAAGGCTTTACTGTCTCTCCCTCTTCTCATTGTCCATTGCCACCCCACTTAAAGAGTGATTCGATCACTACACTTGCTTCCCTTGCGAATCACGACTCAAGATGGGCAAATCACAAAGCAAGTTGTCTCCCGAACAGCTAGCAGATTTACAGAAGAACACCTACTGTGTGTCATGTCGAAACTCCCCTCCATTCAGATGCGCTAATCGTTACCGATCCCTCGCTGCAGTTGACAAGAAGGAATTGCAACAGTGGTCCGTATACTAGAAGTTAATCCAAGCTCACTGTTTCAAGTTTACTCATCCTCAAACCCCAACCCCTCTCTTTCGAAATGTAGGTACAAAGGGTTCCTGAAGGACTGTCCATCTGGCCATCTTGACAAGATCGAATTTGCCCGCATATATAAACAATTCTTCCCTTTTGGAGACCCTGGTCAATTCTCAGAATATGTGTTCAACGTATTCGATGAGAACAAAAATGGGACGATTGATTTCAAGGAGTTTATCGGTGCCCTCAGTGTAACGAGCAGAGGGCGACTGGACGAAAAACTGAAATGTGCGTGTCGAGTCATGCTGATCTGACTGTAGCCCGCGTCTACCCCTTTCCCTCCTATCGTCTCTTCCCCTTGCCGCGCATTACACTTTCCCTTCGCCCTATTCCGTTTTGGCTAATGTGCGCGCGTTATAAATAGGGGCATTCCAACTATACGACATTGATGGCGATGGGTTTATCACATATGATGAAATGCTTCAAATAGTAAGGTCCATATACAAGATGACAGGGCAGATGGTCAAATTACCCGCGGACGAGGACACGCCGGAGAAGGTCAGGATTACCAACTTTAGAACGATCGACTTTGCTTACTCCTTGATCATTAGCGAGTTGACAAGATTTTCCGGAATATGGACAGAGATAAAGATGCTCGGTTGACGTTCGATGAATTTGTGGAGGGTAGTAAGCAGGACCCTACGATAGTTCAGGTAAGAGAGTACATCATCGATGTGACTCTGGTACTGAAGCGAACACTCTATTTATTCTCAAGGCGCTATCACTGTATGATGGCCTCGTGTAGCGAGGCGCTCTCTTAATCATTTGACCCGCGCATACCCTTTAGTTGCTCCTAGGTGTTGAAGCAACTTTAGAGGTTCTTATTGCAAGTGGAATCCTGGCGGACTGTTGTTGTATATTTATTGATGTAGTGAATTGTATGTACAATGGCCTCAGATCTCGGGTTGATCCGACCGCTTTGGTGGGTTTTTAGCGGCTGGGTAAACCCCAACGAAGCCACCTGAGCTGAGCGCTCGTGAAGCCAGTGATTCCCATTCAGAGCGCTTTACAGCGATTGAAGTTAGAATGCGACCCAGCTGTGAGCTGTATTCAGTCTCTAAAGTGGCGCCGTGGAGATGTCGCAAAGGAAAAGCCGCGACCAGCGGCGGCGCATTGGTAGTTCTACCTTGCCTAGGCGAGATGTCAACGAGAGGATTCAGAAGAAACATTGAAGGCGACGGCGTGTCGGATTAATGAAGCGCAGTTAAAACCAGACTCCTCCCCAGTCGCTCTCCGATTTGCCGAGGTTTATCCGCAACTTTAAAACTGAATTCTTGTCTGCTGCCTTCTGCCAGAACGTTGTCCCATCAATTCCACTCAGTTACTTAATTACAACTGAGCCCGAATAAGTCATTTCAGTTGCTTAGGGATAATGAAGAGCAACTGTGATTGATAATGATGTTTGAGACGCAGAATCCCGCTGGAGGATTGATTTGCATTGCGCGTGAGTAAGCGGTTGAAGGCTCCGTTCAATGATAAGGCATATGCCAGAATGAAAAAGGGGGATGCAAAGCGCGCAGCATGAGAAATGTAGAAGAGCGAAAGAGGGAAGAATCTCACAAGATACAATCCACTTCAGGGGAACCACATAGATAGGGCATGCAATGACTCGAAATATGCGACAATGGGCGTTTCTCTGGCTTCTGTATTCACATCCTAGCCAGCCTGACTAGAGGTAAATAGCCCGAAATTCCTAGGGAGTTAATCGGTGACCCTATGTTGCCCGAGGACGTATGAGAGAAGGTGACTACTCGAGTACCCGTACTAGTTGAAAACTTTTTGGTTCAGAAGCAACAAACAAGTATGACGGAGATAATGAGGAGTGTGACATAAGACTCTGACTCTGAAAGGTTGAGACGGTACAATCAGATACTAGACAGACAGCTATTCGCATCCCAGCCATTCGACGTTCCGTCTCTGAAGCCCGCATTGTGTTGCAGCGGAGGTGTTTTTCAAATGAGTTAGTCTCTGAGTTTAGGTAAACCCGAGATTATTCCTGCTCCAAATCTTGCCATGGCGGCGAAACACTGTTGACCCAATTCCAGGAGTTTAGCTTTCGAAGCCCGAGAATCCCCTCAACACAAACAAAGACAAACGTATTGGGGCTTTGCGAAGCTGCCAGCGTGTCATTACACCGCTTCCCTTGCAATGGCCAAAATCGCATCCTGGGGACCACGCAGCTTGACAGCTTCTTGAAATGTTGCAAGAGTCGCATGTAATGTCCAAAGCTTCCGCACTTGTGTATCCATGTTTGGAGTTGTTTGGATTACCACAGTTGGAATTATATGACAGACTAAGACAACATGGGATCGTACAACGTGAAAAGCGCGTGACAGCCGAAGATACAGTGAGTTGTGGACAGGATGGGAAGTACATATCGGCTCCAACAGACATGTGTCCTCCATGTTCCATCAGATGGTCGGGCTGCAAGGTAATTGGCATTGGACTGCGCGCTGAGGGTTTAAGAAACACGACCTACATACGATTCAGGGAGCGGGAGCGATGAGAAGTGCTGCACAACCCGCAGAGCAGGTTCCGAGGGCACTGTTGCATGCGACAATGGCCGAAGGGGCCCCCACAGCTGCCACGGTACCGAACGTAAATCCGGCTGCGGCGTAGCATGCTACGGCCACGACGTTACACCCTGTTTGACAAACTCCGTAGGTAAAAGGACCCGCCAATGCAGATGGGGCAAGGGCGAGAGTCGAGAAGAGGATCAGAGGATTAAAGTATTTCATGTCGATACGGTTTGGTGATCGTCAAAATTTAACACGCAGGTCGTTTTGGTAGATTATGGTGGTTCGTTGGAAACCTGGCGAGCCGCAAACCAGTCTTTTATACCGCCAGGATGAATATATTGGCCGATCCTTCTCGTTTTGAGCAAGTTGCAACTCCTGCCCCAACGCACGACTGCGGATACATGCACGGGACAGCAGGCTGCCTGACAACTGCGCTGCCCGCGGAAATCACGAAATAGATGTGACCCCGGGTTCGTGTGTGTGGTCTCGAGGATTCCTGGGCCAAAATCAACATGATGAGCGCGGCGTCGCTCATATATAGTTTTGCACAATGTCTTCATCTGTTGGCAACCTCCCTACTGTACTATAGGCCTACGAGGTTCATATTATCGCGTCCTCACTATAATCGGATACTTGGTGCTATCCAACCTCAACGCGGAATTACCTTGCTTCGTCATGTCCTTGCAACTTTTCGCACGTCTTCTGGCAATCAGTGCTTCATTCACAATGGTTAAGCTGGGAAGGAAATAAAAATCGTTAGCTATGGCCATACTCAGCATACTCGGACACTGTTTCAAACAGCGATGACATTTGGTGCACATCCTAACCATGATGCTCGGCGAGGACATATCCGCGATTCCATCCAGCCAAGTTGCATAGAAGAAGATGAGGTGTGAAAGGACGATATTCACCTTGCAGTAAAGTGAGAACACATTGACAACATCATGAAGCACAGCAGAGGAAGTCAAGGCAGCTCCACAGGCAGCGCACACGGTAGTTGCCAAAGATCGAGAGGATAACGTAGCGGAAATATTTCTTCACCAGTGCAAGAGGTTAGGAAAGGTGAATGCAAAAGAGCGTGAAGAAATTGAGGACCTTGGATTTTGAAGGATTTGGCAACGGGATCTGTCAATAATGCATTCAATTTGGGACCGGTAAATTTGCAGGACTTAGCGAATTGAACCATCTGATGAATTGAAAGTGACCACTGGACCACTGTACCCAGCATTATTAGTGTGTGTGGGGGGGGGGGGGCACAAGAGGGCAATGTCAAAGAAATGAAATGCAGACACGTATGAAGAACAAAGCAAAGTTGCAACAAGCCGGAAATGGGGAAAATAGAGACCGAACGCGGAACAAGTTACACAGTCAACAGCATAAGAGCAGGAAAACAGACTAAGTGAATGTCCTTGCTGATTGATATGGGCCAGACTGTGTGGTGCTGAACTCTTGGCATATGCTTTAGCCGGGATGAACGCGTTCACGACCAGCAGTATTGAGCCATAGGAGTTTAGAGAAAAATCCAAGACAGAATCAACTACAGACTGACATTGGTACCGTTGTGCCACCCAGGAACAAGTCCAGCATCGCACGATCATGCTCCGGTCGAATGTATGCCAGTCCACAAACCCCATTAACATATACTAATAGCTGGGAGCGAGTTCTGATCGAGCGTTCCCATTGGTCCGCTTCAGGCCATTTAATAGATGTTGAGATTGATAATGGATATCGGGCTTCACCATTCTTTCCAGCCCAGTCGAAATCGATGAGCTGGACCTTCCCCTCAACTGTAATTATGATATTCGGTGGCCGAAGATCTCCGTAGACAAAGTTTTTGGCATGAAGCGACTCAATGACGCTTGGAAGTGTGTTAAGTGCGTCTATCGACGAGTTCCGGGCCTCTGACCCCAACACAACAGCGAGTGTCTTGCCAGCCACGTATTCCATAATGACCATTTGGAGCTCGCCATAACAGGGCATTTCAGGAATGACATTGACTGGCCCACAATACAACAAGTTCGGTGCGAACCCTTCTTTCTCCATGGCACGATGAGCATCAGCACCATAATCAGTCACAAATTTGACCACAACTTTGGTCGAGTCGTCGACACGTGTCGCAAGGAACGTTTTGCAGTCCGGCTCAGGCTCAAAAGGTCGTTCATACTCAAACTCGACAAGATTGCCGTCTTGCTCAAAGAATCGCGGAGTAGGGAAGAACCTAGGATGGGGGACACTGGGCTGCATTTTGGGAAGCTTGCCAATGGTGGTATACCATGCATCGAGTTGTGAAAGCGACTCTGTAAGAGTGTAGAGAACACGTGAAATCCGAGTGCACTGGTATTCATCGAGGCATGAATGAAAAGGTAGTCTGTCAGCCGCTGGACAATGCACCGGGATGTCAGGACACCGCCCAGAATAGCAAACCATGGTCCAGCCTGGGCGACAAGAAAAGTTGGACAGCACCACCTGCGCACGATATCCTGAGCCTGTAAATTGTCAAGCATAAGTGGCCAGGCAAAAGCCAAACAAAAGAGAACATATTCTAACGTTTTGTTGTTGATATCGACTTAAAAGTGAAAATGCAGCCTGAGTTGAAGGGTCAGAGGGCCCCCCAATTTTCCCCTCCTTTTCATCGATAAGGATACATCTTGGGAGGAACTCATTACAGTACCGTCGAACTCCGTGAAATCATCATTAGAAAGCAAGGTACGACCGAGCATTTTCTCGAGAACTAGCCTAATTTGTTGCCGAGGAACGTCCTCACTGGCAGCGGAGTCCATCAGCAGACCGTAGGTCCGCAATTTGAAGTCTGATGGTACCTGGAACCCAGGATCAAAAGCTTTGCTGGAAAAAATGCGAAGGCAGGGTGATAGAGTTGGATAGGGATGGCAACGGTGGGTTTCTGCCTCATCAGGATATCGGCAATCCCAAATTCGGGAACTCTTCCCCTGGTAATCCATGACTTGACGAGCGAAGCGGGTGTGGGCACTTTGGATCCTAAGCGAAGTAGATTGTTGCAATCTTCCCGTCACAGAGTCAATAACCTTTCTGGATCGATTCAGGTTCAGGGGTCGTCACCCACCCTCTGTGAGGCGCACTAGGATGTCTTGTTCGTCATCCCTCCTAAACACTCTCCCACTTGGATCAATCAGTCAGGACTTCTTTAGAGACTCCACTTGTCGCGGTTCAAACCCAGCCGTGGCTCTACAGTTGGAGCTCTAAGAAGCATCCAGTGTCAATAGTGGTAGTTGCTTGCTTTCATTGTCCGAGCCAAGACCTAAGAGTCGTCACTTGTCGCAGGCGGCCCCGAGGCAATTTTTCCCCTGAGAGGATGTCTACCTTGTTGTGGTCCAAGGACTGCTCCGACTTGAGACAAAATTTCCAAACTTCGGTGTGCTCCGGTGGGCTGGAACCCCGTGCCTGAAGTTCATCTGAAAAGACCCGGATTCCATACAGCTATAAAAACCAAGATGTGACGGATAGGAGCGCTCATCGATCAGTTAGAAAGGATCTCGTGGACTTTTGTTGTTCAGCATGCCGAGAAACCATCATTAGACGTTGCACACGATATGTGTGCTGACCGAAGCCAGGCATTTTGAGCAAACTCAGTCATAAGCATTTCACCGAGACTCTCGAAGGCATGTGTCACGCTTAATAGAAGGCAAGTGTTAGGAGGCCTTTCTGATGATCGGATGTTAACCCGGCCTCGGCACTTTGGCCCCATATGATGATGGTGGTGAAATGTCATGGTGTCGCATGGTTTGCGGTGCATCGGCGTCCATGCTCGCCGCTCGCAGCCGGGGGTGACTGAACTCCGAGGGAAGTTTGCACACGAGGGTTCCCTCCGTTGGCTCGTCGATCACTTCGGGGGGACTCTCTGACATGATCCAGAGGAAATATGTACATACGCACTCCATTATCGACTCAACGACGGGAGTATGAAAAATTCCCTTAGCTCCAGAACGTGAACGAGTTCCCAAGGGTCTGGGTAATATAATAATGTGATCCTTGAAGTTTCAAGGATGCTTGGGTATCACATTGCCATTCCCGAACATGCGGAAGCGGCACACATGGAGCTTCAGCATAGTTATCCAGATGATGAAACGACGTCCAATTGGCAGTTCTGATTGCATGATGGTGATTCCTGAACCACGGAGTAAGGCCTTTTAACAAAGAACAACTCGAACTACAAGCCAACAGCAGTGAAAAGCGTATCCTCGCATGGTCCGAGGAACAACCAGTCTGCCTCATCATCTCCGGGTGTCCTTTCGAGGTTGAAAATTGCGACCTTCCCTCCGTTCTCTTTGACCGCAAACGCGAATCCGGCTGCGGGATACACCTAATACGAAGCAAGGTGATTAATTTGGTAGAACAGATGGACGAGCTTACGGTGGAGGACGTCCCAACCACAATGCACAAGTCTGCGTTGTCGACTAGTTCATTTATCTCATTCATCCGCCTTGGCTCCTCGCCAAACCAAACGACTGCAGGGCGCAGTAAGCCGTTGCAGCCTTCGCGGGTGCAGTGTGGCAAATCAACCAGAGGGATATTTCCCAGAGGCAAAGAAGACTCGAGACTTAGTTCCTGACTGCCCAACGCCTCGCATATGGGAGAGCTACGATTCTCCTCCTCATGATCGCAATCCATGCAAGTGGTAGAGAGAATTGAGCCGTGCATCTGAATGATAGCATCCAATGCTTCGGTCGGATTAGACACAGCTAGCGCAGCATTAATACTGAGTCCATCTACATTTTGAGTAATGACCTTGAATGAGGACCCAGGACCACGAAATGGGGAGGAAGAGAGTGAGAGTGACGCAAGAATGTTGTGGGCGCGGTTGGGACTGGCCGCCAGTGCACTGAGAGAGATTCGGGATCAAGACAATCGGTGATGGGACTTAGAAACAGGCAAAACATACACTTCCCGTCGGTAATGATAGAATTGCCAAACGACGCTGGGATCGCGATCAAAAGCTTGTGGAGTTGCGAGGGAGATAGCATTGAAAGTCCTCCATAAGCCTCCTAGAATATAGAATTAGTAGTTCCGCAACGATATGCTGAACCAATGGAGGCCATATGATTCCATTGTTTTCGCTTTCTTGCTAAAATCAATGGGGAATTACCTGCTCCTCGAAAAGTAGGTATCCCAGAGGCGGCCGAAAGCCCAGCCCCACAAACTACTATAGTGTGCCTGATTCGAGCCCGAGTTTAGTCGACAAAAACACGGATGTTTTAGTACGAACTTTGAATGCTTGAGGGTATCGCGGAAAGTCTGATAGTGTGCCTGCATCTGAAGAGAAATTTTGGTGGCAGTGTAGTTGGCCGGGTGGCCGAGTTTATCCCCTTTGACGCGGAATACATTTCACCACACCGCATCACCTTATTTTATAGAAAATATCTGTCTGAGCCGGCATATGTGTATTATGGAGGAGCTTTTGGTCAATGGGCGAAAAGAAGCAAGTAGCGTTGTAAGACCCCAATCCAATTGTTCCTGACCCATACAAAGCTAGTACTAATGTTCGAATTGCTTAGCTCGGTTGGCTATCCATAGGGTGCTGGTGAGTGGATCTACGACATTGATTTGGGCATCCATCAGGCTGATGAAGGCTATGCCAGGCTTGTCGTTTATTCTCCACAGCTTCTTGAGAACTATCAGCGCAAATCTGGTGAAGGGCTCTCAGTTGCCTTCATAATAGCGTGGACATTAGGAGATCTATTCAACTTATTTGGCTCCATAAGAGCTGGATTGCTCCCTACTGTCATTATTTTGGCCTCCTACGTGTGTGATCAACGCATCTGTTGTGATTTCGCGACTAACGCACCTGAGATCATAGTACACACTTTGCGACCTCACTCTGTTGGTTCAAATATATTACTATCGAATTTTCTACGACAGCCATAACCGCGCATGCGCACCCGATGAGAGTACACCTCTGATTCCACCGAAAATCGACTCCGATAAACCCGGCCCCAAAAAAAGCATGATCGTTGCCCTCCTCGAACGTGAAAGCGTCAAATACAGCCTCCTAGCTTTATTTGTGGTTTGTTTTGGTGTTTTGGGATACCTTCGTGATCGCCATCCGAGCAACAATACGCCACACAACGACATCCCTCAAGATCATATCTTCGAGTGGCGCAGTCAGTTGATGGGCTGGGCATCTGCCATACTATACTTGGGCGCACGGATTCCACAGATAGGTGCGGCTATTTTCAAGCGGGAGATGTATACTGATGCTGCTTTAGCTAAGAATTTGAAGACCCGATGTGAAGGACTTTCACTCGCTTTGTTCTTGTTTGCTATCTCGGGGAATACGTTCTTTGTGCTATCTGTTTGCACCATTTCACTCGATTGGGAATATATCCGTGTTAATGCCAGCTGGCTTGTTGGGAGTGGTTTCTGTGTGTTTGCTGATGTCTATGTGAGTGGATTAAATCATGGTATTCGTGTCAGACTATTAACCACCGCTCGTCTAAGATATTGGTTCAGTTTTTTCGATTCCGGATAGCAGATAGAGAGCGATTAGCGGCCGCTAGAGTAGAAAACAACTCTAGTGCTTGAGTATTACAAATGCCCACCTCGGTATATAGGTCCATCGTGCACCTATACAATATCGAGAGACGAAACTATTTCGAGCCGTCAGTCGTACATTGCCGAGCAATTGCGGATCGGAAGATGAATGATGCAATGATAATATTTTCGACTACTATACATACTCCCAAATCGATGAATCGGTGAATCTCAAAGGCCCACTACATCAATCTGGACACCACTAGGATCCTCATCATCTTCGTCATCTTCGTCAAGATCAAGATCATGACTACCGATGGGTTTATCAAGGGCGAGCGATTCGCCCTCAAACATGAGGCGAACACCTTTCTTGCCTGGATCAACACCAACTGCCTTAAGGTAGGCAGCCAGGATGGACCGACACGCAGTGGTCGCTTTAACGTTCATCCTCTTTGCCTCAGGGAATGGTTTGCTCTTTAAGTCTAGTCTTATCTTTCGGACCTCTTCTACTTTGGGTTCAGCATCAGCATCATCACCACCACCATCACCATTCTCTTCGTCGTTCAGGTTGGAAGGTTCCGGTTGTGATTTACCTTGTCGTCGAAGTTCCCGGATGATATCATATGTGTTTTTCTCCGAAGCCGCTGCAAACCACCAAGGATCAGCGATTGGGTCTACATTTCAAAGCTAATTCACTCACAAAGATGGATTTCCCGTACCAGGCCCTCAAGCTGTCGGGGGGTTTTCATGCCGTGTATCTGGTGGTCCTCATGGGTGACGACCAAATCATGTGCGAAAATGTGCTTTTGTCCGGCGATATTCTTGAATATCTGCCGTAAATCACTGTCCTGTGTCACGTTTAGCGCGTCGGATTAGGCAGGGTGTAATCGTAAGCCCACCCTATCAATGATATAATCCCATGTATTCGGAGGGTGCTCTTTTGCGGCAGGATGCGGCACCCATGTGATGATGATTTTGACATTCCTGTCTAGCCCACCCACACCAGGCGCGGGGCTGGATGTATCTCTGATATCTTTCGGCCTGTATTCTGATTTGATCCGGCGGAGCATAGCAGCTACTTCGGCGTCGTCATCTTCAATCTCAAAAGGGTTGTCCTTAAATTGGTTCAGGGCATTTATGCTTTCTCGATCTCGAATGTTATTGACATGGGGGATATGATCTTTGATGATTTCTCGTGCAATGGCACGAGCACGTTCGCGAATGTGGAAGGCAAGTGGTGGTGGAGGAGTAGGTGATCTCGACTTTGGTCGTAATCGATCCGGACTTTTTGAGCGAGGTCGCTTGATTGCTTGGTTTAAATCGGTGATTTCGTCGTCCGAACCGTCCAGCGCATCCGGATTCCTAGGGTTAAGGTAAAAAGATGCAATTTGGAAATTTTAAGGGCAGAATCATTTTTATCGCTTACACTTGCTCTTTGCCGAACACAGATTTTCCCTGATTAATTTTGGTAGTCCATGAAGGTAACCGCTGGGCCTTAGTATAACGTTGCCTTTTCTTCCCATTTGGGCTACCGCCTTCCGGATCGGAATCCCCGAGATCCACTATTTCGCTCTCTTCTTCAGCTTTCCGATCGCCTTTTGGAGGCGTGGGTCTAGACTGACGCACACAAGGCGAAATAATACGCACATACGTTCAGCTCGTGCTTTGATTACATCAAACCCACGGTTTCTTATGAAAAAGTCGTCGCCGTCCTTTGAAGAAGACACATTTCCCGGAGGGACAGAAGTATGTGCTCCTTCTCCTGTGGCTGCTCGAGGTTTAGGCCGTGGTCGCGGCCGCGGTTTGTTGTTCATGGCGCCAGCGGCACTAGGTGTATCGTGACGAGGAGGCTCACGCGTAGATGAGATGATAGGGGCTGCAAAAATGAATACAAGTGCATTGTTGATATCTGTTTTTGTCGACACTTGAGACTCGGGAATACAACGACGACATTATAAATTGCATGCTTGGAAGTCGGTCGGCACATTGATGAACAGGGACAATTAGGTAATTATATATCTTTCTTCGACTCCTGTAACGCTGCACTAGCTTCTTTCACTACCATTTCGACAGGTGGAACGTTCAACGCCACCCCATTAGGTGCACCTGGTGCGCCAGGCGTGACCGCACCAGATGTCAGAGGTGTCTCGGCGCCGGGCTTTCGCTTCCTTCTATCTGGCAAGACGATTCCGCGACTCGCAAGGACTTTACGCATGACTCTTTTGCCGCCATTGAGGAAGAAAATGATTGGCAACGCAACAAGAATGTGGCCGTACCAATACAGGCGGTGCCATGCGAGGATGCTCCTTTTCAAATCGAGGAGCTGGAATGGCGCGACGACGTAGCCGAGGATGGCGCTGGAGGCGAGAATTCCGAGGGCGTCATAGATAGGTTTATACTGAGTTGATTTCCCATCAGGTGTGAGGAAAAGTGGTCGGCAATATTGACGCATAAGTCGGTTAGAGTATTGGATGAAACCACCTGGTTGTGTTGTGTTAGGTGTCCGTTTTGAGAATCATGAGGGTGAAACGCACCTAAGAAGAAGCTAAGATAGTAGCCGATATGAATTCCATGCTATCGTCGCTCCCGTGAGTCATTGCGTCTAAACAAACCTCCATCGAGCCATCACCTACCCAGAATGCACTAGTGAGGAAAGTTATCATGCTGCTCGAAAACCCTGGCTTCTTTCCCTTGGGCGTGACACGTTTATATACACAGTTCCTAAGCCAGATATTGGTATTCATGTTCCAGCTATCGAGCAAAATTTTGAAGTTCGGTGCGATTTCGATGTTCATGATGTCAACGTTGGCTGTGCGGTTCCACAAAGTTTCCCCTGTTTTAGCGTAACCGTTGAAACCAAGGCCGGTAAGGATAGAAGCACCCTGGGAATGTGTTGTGAAATTAAGAGTCAGTCATGCAAGGAGCCATACCAACCTCGGCAAGGAGCCACACCCCGTAATACTTGGTTCTTTGGGCAAGGCCAAGCCGGTATGTGAAGAAATAACTGGACAATAATAACATTAAAAGGCGGCGTGAAACGTGAAGGAGCGGAGGCCTACCGTCCAAGGAATGACTTCTGGGAGAATTCTGGAGTTAATATACGGTCGTAATCCATTCCACCACCCCAAAGCGCAAATACTCCTAGGAAAAATGCCCCTTGCGCAAACTTCGTATACGCAGCACGCTTCCGGCCTTGTGGAAGGCGTGAGGATTGTGCCGTTTTGTCTGCAATAGGGTTCGGGGTGAAGAGGGTTCCGTGAACGAGTTGTTCGTAGTAGATATACTCAAATGTGGGCCCAACAAGGATTCCGGGAAAAAAGAACACATATCCAAGGAAGGCCAAGGGGTCGGGGAAGGTGGTTATTTTAGCCGCTGCCTGCGATGTGTCGAGATCCTGGGGATCTTGAAATCAGCGGCGTAAACAGCCGATTGCAACAAATTCTCACAGGAGATTGGTGGCGACCATCGAATACATTCCAAGCGAAAGTTGTTAGCTTCATCGTGAGCACCATTTGGGTTCCGGTGATGTCTACAACATCGTATCCGGCGCCGGAGAGTGCTCGGAGGGTATGGTTTAGCGTCAGATTGCCCATGGCGGCCACGAAAATGATCCATGGCATATAAGGAGCCCGGACATAGTAAGCCACCAGATATGTGAAGGCGCTCGAAGCCAGGCACTGAAGAACCCCAGACCATAAGTGCAGAAGCCCTATCAAAAAGAATGCTGAAACAGCTAGATTGTATATATGTCTAAGTGCTGGACGGGAGGCGGGTATGCTTGTAAAGAGTGCTGCAAGGGGGTATGCAACGAATAAGGAGAATATTAGCTGTTGGAGAGTCCACCTCAATTGCAGATTGTTGTAGAGGTTCTTCTATCTACATTACCTTAAGCTGGTCTGGCGCAACACCGCCTAGTTCCGACGCTCTCAGAAAAAGCGCGTCCATCATCATGGAGGTTAGAGGTGAAAAAGGAGGCAGCAAGCCTAAAAAACACACGTTCCAAGAACCACATATATACGTGGGAAATCAGATGCAAAATATCGCACTTGCACCACGGTTAATTCCGGGCAATAACAGCGCAACGAAAACATGGTCAGGCGAAGCGTACACATAGATAATTGACATGTGAAGATAACGCATAACGGACGCGTAAAAACATATTATCATCCAGTCCACAGTCAGTTCGGATGTGAAGCCTTCGATGAACATCCAGCTCGCCCCACACATTGTCAATGTCGAAGTGCACTTTACACTTTGAAGCCACGAGACTGATTAAGGGGATCTCAGTACTGTCACCAGTGAAGAGGATTCGGGAAAGAAAACAAACCTTTCTCCGACCACGAGCGCGCTCAAATTTGCGACCTTTGGAAATAAGGTATGGCTTTTTGTGCTTGTGGGGGCCTGCGTTTTAGGGCGTAGTGTGAATACTGAGATTACTGCCAAACTCTGAACGAACATCACACATACCCATGCCAAAGTGTTTGACGGCTTCACGCCTGTCCTTGGGACCACGGAGGATCAGAGTGTTTGAGCCTTTTGGAGCGCGAAGAGCAAGCTGGTCGAGCGTCAAGGTTTCACCACCAGCAGCAAGAATGCGCTCCTTTGCTGATCGGGTGAAACGAAGAGCAGCCACAGTCATTTTTGGAACGGAGAACAAACGTTCATCGTCGGTAATGGTGGCAACGGCGACAAGAATTTTGCCTTCGGCAAAAGAGTTTCTGGCTGTCAATGACACTCGTTTGAGCGAAACGGGAGGACGGTTGGTTTTGGAGAGGAATAAACGGCGGAGAACGATCTGATATTGGCAGAAGGGTCGGCGTGTGACGCATGAAAATTCACAGTAATATGCACCTGGTTGAACTTGGAATTCGTTCGTCGCGCAAGAAACCGATAGAGCTGGTGATGATCTATTGAGTGATAAAATCCAAAGGGTGAACGTCTTGCCCTTACCCTGACCAGCAAAGCGAGATATGGATCTTCGCTCTTCGGAGCGGTACGGTAGCTCTTCCTGACGTGATGCTTGGCAATATCGATACCCTAACAGAGGAAAGGCCGCATATTACTGTCCAATGCAATTTTCGTTGCAGCGTCCTGGCTTACCATCGGTGTGTCTTGAGGATGTAGAGCTACGGATGCAAATTGTGATATAGAACTGTTAGCAGTTCTGGTATTTTCGGCAGTTCCCGACAACCTGACTCTGACTCTATTTCGCCTCGTTTCAAGAGCATGGTTCGTTTTTTATATTTTTTTTTCTAAAATTTTCTGAAAGGCGTGATGGATGAGACGCTGACCAATGATGAACTCTATGGATAGTTCGGAGAGAACGGCAACACTGCTACGACGGCAACACCTGTCGACCCCTATGCTGACCCACCGTACCCCCCTAAGGAGAACGGCAAGACCAACGATACGGACCGTGACCAGAAGATGACTTCCCCAGATACGTCGAAAGGATTTGATCGGGAGCGCGAACGTAGGTCCCGCTCCCGTAGTGGCTCGCGCCGCCGAAGTCCACAACCATCATCACCTCCTCGCAGGCCTCCCCATGCGCCTGCTGTACGTGTCCCATGTGCCCCACCTCAGTCACTTACAAACTCTCGTCTTCTCAGGCACCATTGCCCTCAAAGGTCCTTGGAGTGTTTGGTTTAAGCATTCGAACGGTGGAGCGTGATCTCGAAAATGAGTTTGGAAGACACGGCGCTGTGGAGGGCTGTTGCATTGTTTACGATCAGCGTGTGAGTACCATAGTTCTGATTGTATGCCGCTAGTCAATTTATTGTCAATAGTCTAACCGCTCTCGTGGGTTTGGATTTGTCACAATGTCAACTGTTGAGGAGGCAACGAGATGCATCAAGGAATTGAATGGAGTCGTAAGTGTGGTGACTGTTTGCATTTCCGGCCTTAGCGCACCTACTGGTGGCCTTTTTACTAATGTAACTACAGGAACTTCACCATCGTCGGATTCGGGTCGACTACTCTGTTACAGATCGTCCTCATCAATCGACTCCTGGAGAATACATGGGTTACCGACGTTCTTACGACAGACGTCGATACGATCGCTACCGCGATGACCGCCGTGATCGTGACGATAGGTACTACAGGTACGATGACAGGCGTGACAGAGACCGCTATCGCGATGACCGCCGTGACCGCTATGATCGTGATCGTGATCGTGACCGTGATCGTGACCGTGATCGTGACAGGGACCGCGACCGCGACTCGTTTGGAAGGGATCGTGATTGGAGGGACAGACGAAGTTCTAGTCCAAGGGATAGAGATAGGAGGCGCAGCCTTTCGCCAAGGCGCTCACCCCATCGTGATTTTGATGGTCCTTCTGATTCTGACCGGGCTGCCCCTAGGTGGTAAGATGATGCTTTCAGTTCGGTGCATTTGCAGTTTTGTTGCAGAACCGTCCCCGCTGTACGCGCATCATCAAGATTTGGAAAGATTTTCTTGTGTGCAGTCGGAAACTCGTCAAGAGCTTTACATCCTTCTTTACCTCAATTGTCAAGTCTCTTCAATATCTCTCAAATTCATACTGCCTTCAATCTGTTCGTCAAATACAACATGCAAGCATCCACGTTTCACCCCAAGTTATGCTCAATACAAAACAGAAACAAGCCTGCAAGTGTACAAGCGACTTTTGTATCCCTGGTTCATGGCCAGTTTTTTTCTCGTATTTGGTATTATCTTGTTCTTTCTTCGCTTCCTACTGGTCGATTTGTATGAATCGTAGGATATGCTACTTATACACATGGTTCGTGTCATTGCTTGATTGTGACCGAAAATGGAAAACTTATCCGCACATTGCCGCCGAGGCAAATCTTGGAATCATTCTTCACCGCTGACCGTTGTCACTCGTGGTTTCGTCTCCAGCTCCCCAAGAGCATCGCTCAATTACGCTCCTTCTGATTCCTCTCACTTGGAACCCGTACCTCTGACTATTTTATCGCTGGTCGAATATTGTGCCCGCTTTCTCCTGATTCAACCAGATGTGTTGGCCCGGAGAATCAAAGTGGAAGCGGGAGATTGTGAACGATCACAAGGTAAAGGTCGCTTCCACTATGAGTACCGTGTACAGCGCTGATGTTGCGACGACCCAAGTTTGATTTTGTGGATGTGCACGATTACCACTCAGAAAGCTGGGGAACACGCCTACAGTACCTATGGCTATACCTAGTCCTTATCAAGTCCTTCCTCGTATATTTATCCGATCTCTACACTGCTGTGACCATGTTAACTACAAGCGGGTGGTCAAATGGGATCTTCCAAAAATGCAAAGATTCACAGATAGCAGATAACTGCGTCGTCGTGGATTTCACTGTGGGAAAATGGATTTTCGTCGGGTGCATCATCTTTGGCTATTTGCTTGTGCGTATAGGGAGACGTTGTGTTGAGGAACCCAACCTAATCTCCTTGTAGCTATTATATGAAGGCTGGAAAGCTCAGAAGATTATTGTCAGCCGAGACATTTCTTATGCGTTCACCAACGTATTGGCGAACACACACTACAGCCTGAGTGTGTAGACTCAACTGCCTCGTGTATGTTTATATTTATTTTGCGAAACAGAGTCCTACGACACATTCTGCTTCTTCACCCAAATCGAAAACTCGACGAAGAAGAAGGATGATTTTGCCTTCTTCGTCTTTTTCACATTCAAAGGTATGTTGGAGCGGCTCCAACCCTCTGCGCCATTTTGATTAACCCTCGAATATCCCAGGCTGGAAGCGTCTGATTCTATCCGACGGCCCTCGTCAGTGCATCAATGCGCTCACCCTCTATTCATTCTGGCTCGTCAATTCGGGAAGCCTCAAAAACATGGAGAATTACTGGCTTCAACAATCACTAGTCACCAAGTTCCTCCTCATTTCAATTCTCTTCACTGTGGTAGTCTTTCTTTGTTCTCTTTTCCTCCTAATAGTTGCTGCTTTGTGCTACGTCCCCCTCCTCTGTTACATCCAAGGCAACCTGAAAGAGTACTGCTGTCACAAGGTCGACAAGGTGGGTCCAGATTCCACTGACTCATGTTATGACACACTCAATTGCTATCCCAGCGCATCGCTGAATTGATGAAGCGTAAGAACCGAGCCCGTATCGCGAGGATTGCCAAGCTGGCACGGAAGGAAGCGGCTGGTGACTTCTCGCATCTCAAGGACAAGAATGGCGAACAAATTCGGAAGCCCATCCCTCAGCCCACCTTGCCAAACATCAAGCTTGACGAAGAAGATACGGCCGCAACCTCTGCGTATCGGAATCCAGGAGGAAAGTCAAACTATGCATCGTCTTACGCCACCACCAAAGACGATTATGGTGCCTACCCGGATTACCCACCTACGGACTACCCACCACCAATGCCTGTATATGACGACACCTACTACTACCAGCATCCTTCCTTGAAGGGTACTGGAGAGTACGACGATTCCATGTACGAGCATGATATCAAGACACCTGGCACTGAGTATGGTGGCAGCACAACACACCTCGCACAGGGCCAGCCAGGACCTAGGTTCTCAGCACAGCAGCGTCAGAGCCACGATCATCTTGTCGAGGCGGGGCAGAACTCGCGCCACGCATCGAACAATGAATGGTTTACTTACGAGCGCGGGGATGTAGAGGTCACAGCAGGTCCTTCACCACACCACCGAAGGTCCAAGTCTGGGAGCAAACAACAAGGAGGTCAGCCAAGCGGTGCGCGCACTTTAAGCAATGGTCGTGGGAGTGGGCTAGCCATATAGACCCTCCAATACAGTATTTTCCTTTCGGCCTGGACCAGGGAAATCTCCTTGTCGTTGCAAGTTCAAGGGCACTCTGCAATCGACTCGCTCCCACATTATTAATGACTGCCTGGCGCATCCCGAGCCTGCTGTACAGAAATTCCTAAGCAGAGCCGTTGAGCAATTGTATTTTACCATTGTCCTCCATCACTTGACTCACCTAGCTATTCGTTGGTCTAGTATACTATTGATTTGTCGTCTAATAACCACACTTGCAGAACTCCATGCAGCGCGGGTTTGGATCATCAGTGCGCTATATAACAATAGCGCCGACGCGACCGTATCCCCCGTTGCAGTGCGTGCAGTCGATTTTTCTTTCACCCCTTATTCTCAGTGCTGCGAACGCCGAAGCAAGTTCACCATTTTGTTTCAATTACTAGAAATCATTCGGATTTGCTGAGCAGGCGTATCATCAATGATGCATCGACTCTTTCGTTCCAGGGTAACCGATGCAGTTCCGTTTTCGAATCTCCTGCATGCTTTTATATAGTGGTCTGCCACCCCTAGTAGCTTGCAGGCTTTAAGTCTCTTAGTAACTTAAATTGCACATGCATTGTGCCTTGATCGTGGGGTTTTCGAGGATTGCCACTCCACGGACCTATGAGATCGTGACCGTGCTCCTCGTTCTTCGCACCTAGTAGCCCAATACACGATACTTAGCTAGGATAATCATGAATGACCGCTATGACCCGGCTGTCAACAGGATTCTCTACGTCGCGAAGTTAGGAAGCGCAGACTTGGGTGGCTGAATAATATACAACGCCTAGCTTGAGCTTGTCAACTCTGCTCTTGGGAGAAGCTCGATTCTGTCAACAAGGGACTTCGATTACTCCAACCGATGCCTTCCTTCGTCCGTACAAATGCTGGTACGTCGACTCTCGATCTGTTATGGGAGGAAATTACCAAAGAGGTGAGACTGGCTAAAAACATCAGATCCCAAGCTTTGAAAGTTTTCGGCGCCCCAAGGTTGCACCATTACCCTGTACATGACGGGTGATCATTTTTTGGAAAGCTCCTTGGAGCTTTCCATAGTCTAAGGACGTTTGTGCCGAGTTTCCAGATGAGGAAATGAGATAGGAGTATGGTGTTCTTGTAGGATTCCTGGCGACATGTCAAGTCTATGATACGGTGTGGTTTAGGTACGGTTAGGTAAACAATCATGTTTAGGTGCGCGCTGCATGTGCACCAGGTGAATCCAACACATTATTCTCTCCGCCACCCAAGTAAAATGTCAATGCCAGTGTGTCACGTAACACTATATCATTAAATAACGCGTCAGGCTATCTGCGCTAAGGCTAACTTCGAAGATGACATCGCTGGCGGAGGTAGGGTTGAATACTTCAAGAATAACCTTGAGCCATACTTTTCTGATTGAATTTTCAGTGTTTGAAACCACGGTCGTTTCCGTGTCCGCCACTTCTTCCGAGTAAACGCCCAGGGAACTTGCCGGACGGGCGCGATGAACATCCTTTCCAAAAACGCAACAAGGGAGCGGCGACGCAACTCTTGATGCCCCGCTGAGATGGCTCCACTGCAACTGGAGGATCTCCCTGTCGAGTTGATAGCAACGATCCTCAGTCTACTGGATATTAATTCATTGAGGCAGGCGTCCAACGTCTCAACGCGGCTCCGAGCTGTCGTCTCAAATCCTGTCTTGAACCCATGGATATCGCCCATCATTCATTCTCTGGAACGTTCTTCACCCGATGAACTGAGTAACTTGAGTGTACTATCCACTGTACCGCGTCATAACTGGCTCGAGATTATGTGCTTTGCGTCGCCACACTTCCTGCTATTTCAAGCCACGCTACCGAAGCTGACTGAATCTCAATATGAAGAGGCGTTCAAACGAAGATTCTTACCATCGTGGACCAAAATAAGAAAAGATGGAAAATGGAAGGAAGCATTCATGAAGTAAGTGGCCCCTTTGATGGATGAAAATGATGCTTACGGGCATCCGTATGGATCAAGGACGTTGTTCACCGTACATCACCGCTCCAACAGCACATGTACGACTTCGGAAGCCTGGACGAACTATATGACACTTAACAAGACTGGTCATGCGAACTCATGCCATGCTTTTTCTCGAACATTTAACCCGGTGGACGTATTTCATAACATGAAGTATGATAAGCCCCGTCTACAGATCAGAGAAACTTATGTTAATCGGGATTTCTGTTGAAGGGTCAACTCCAATCTAGCGCATTTTCCCACCTCCGCCAGAGTGAGCCACGTTGTTGGCTACTTCTCATATCTCCAACTAACAAAGGGGCTTTAACCATTAGCTTTTAGTCAGGCTTATTGATGTGCGCGTCGTTGTGCTTGGCGTCCTTCATCGGCCCACATCCTGCCTTGTGAATCGCAACGCACGTTTGCTGCTTCATCCCCCCGGAGTATCCGATCCGCACAAGGAAGCTGGAAGTCTTTCTGAAACGTCATCTCTGACTGACCAAGATCATTCATCGGCTAGAGCTGAACCATCCATTCGGGTCAATTCTCCGGGAACATCGATACAAACGGAAAGCCCATGCCTTCCGGAGTCCGCAAGTCGCGTTCGATCCGTTTCGGTAAGCCACTCTTCCCGAAGCAACGCAAGTGCCGCTTTGGCTGCACTTTTCCGATCACGGTCAAGGGATAGCGCTAGCCCGAGTCCTCAAGACGCTGCTAGCTTAGGGTCCGAATTAACCGGTAGCTCCAGGGATAGAAAGCTCCTCATGCGTTTTCTTGGCCGTAAAGCGAGGTCTTCTAGCCGGGCTCGCAGTCCTTCTGAGAGTTTGGATGTCGTTGCATCGATGCAATCATCACCTTCCACGGAGCAATCTCCAGATATGCCATCCCACCCTCTTCCGCCTGCTGCTGTCCCCTCAAACTCTGAACAGCCGACCTCTCTCATGTCTTCCAGTAATTGTGAATCCCCTGAATTATGCCGCACGCATGGAGTTTGTCACGAGCATAGCACAATGCGCCATCCTACACCGCACCGTGAACACGGCGCCTACCCTAATTATACCCCAGGTGGTAGGGATTGGAGGTGGCAGAGAGGGGGTCATGGTGTCCGTCTCACGTCTCTTGGGGAACAAGAGACAGTTTTCATAGAACCGAACGACGACGATAGAGTTTGGATCGGTCCTGTATTGTGCGTGCTCCCTCCATACCACGTATCCTTTGAGTTACCTAAACTTGGTGTTCAGAATTGCCGCGCAATTGTACCCAAGCCACGAAGCTGAGCTTTCACATCGGGGCACCGTGCCAGAAGCCTCCGATCTACAAGCCTTCGAGAATGCTATCCTTCATTCACAGGGCAGACGTTGGGCAAGTTTCGGGTGGACCGATCTGTGGGCTGTCGCACCTTGGCTCGCGGAGAGAATAACCAAAAGGATTGAAGGGGTGGGACTAGGGATTGACTGAGGGATGATGTTGCTTAGGTGTTCTAGTACAGTATTTGCGGAGTGTAAATAGTGGACAATAAGACTCGTTACATGGCACAAACTAAATGGTATCGGTATGCGATTCTTTGGATGCCGATTAGGAACCTAGACAATTGAGGTCGATCCTAAGGGGAGGAAATGGTAAATCCTGCCGTCGCGCCAAAAGAAACCACACTGACGCACCGAACTCTCAGTGGAGCTCGATGGCATCTTGAACCTGATGCTTTACGTACAGAATTTCATGAACGGATCGGCGAGGCAGACACCTACCCAAAAATCACACCGCGACTGGCGGTTTGGATAGGTGAATTGAATGTCAATGTCTCCCCCAGATCCTGGTAACAAATAATGGGTGTAAGAAGGTTCCCAGACTAACCACCGCAGAACACACCTGCAGGAAGTGGAGCCCACAGAAGACATACTGGATTGGACGTGACGGTTTGTCATTTACCCCATCAAAGAGGGTCAAAAGTACTACTCCACCTCGAATAAAATTGAGAAAGAAATTTTGAATCCCATCTAAAGGTACTTATGAACACGAGACAGCTTACGATATGATTGTGCCAGTATGAATCGCGAATCCGACCAGGATTCCCAGTATTGCTCTGTCCGCCCCGGAAAGGTCGATTCAGACCCGCTTGATCCGAAGATAGTTCGCACCCTGGGAATGTGGTTCGATTGCGACGCGAATGAACAACCATTATTGCGGCTATCAAAGTATCTGCGATAGGCTGTAAGGTAAAAATACGCGCAGTAGTGTGCGAAAAACGATCTTGAGATGGGCATCATCAGCCCAGAAAGCCACATGAACCCTTGTGTGCCAGTGTTTGGCCACAATTAAGATCACCCTGAACCCCGGTTCAGTCCGCCTCCTTCGTACAAGCATAGTAAGACTCTATCGAGGCCTTCGCTGCCGCCCTGAATTGAGGGCCTTCCAAACTGATGCCGAAAATCACCATGATAATCACGACTATCTTTAATCCGGTGTTGTTGCGATCATTTCCCTTGGTTCTGTTGACTGACAGTATTTCTGAGCGAACCTGTAAAATATTCGTGTATTGCGATACAGCATCAAGTCCCGTGTCAAAAGGCCACGGACAGTTAGGTAGGAGGGAGGATCATATGCACTGTGGTGGAAACTTAGTTCGTCCCTGCTTGACCACGATGTCCTGCAAGCCATGTTGGTGGCATTGCGAGCTCGTATGGACCCTAGAAACTTCCGTTAATCTCCGATTTTAATTTTTTGACTGGGAAGTTCAACCCAAACCCCATTGATGGGAATGGTGCGCGGTGGCATTGGCAAATGCCGATTGCATTGAGAATTCACAGTCCAGCAATCTTTGAGATTGATTTTCCGAAGGCATCCACGATCACTGGAGAATGGGATTCTATCAAGTGAAGGGCAGGACATGTGTCCAACGGAGAAGAAAGGGTCGAGGGGAATAATGTTACGAAAGCCTCCCGGATGCAAGTATTAAACAGCCGGAGAACCAAGGGAAAGCGTAAGGTGTTAATGACAATGTATTCAGTCGAGAAGCCAAATTGAGCAGGGCTAGAAGCAATAATCGCTGCTGTGACATGGTCAAGCTAGACCACACCTGTATGTGTCGGACAGTAACTGCCATAATATTTCCCCGAGGTGTCATGAAGAACGTCTTGGGGCAATTACTTATATGTGACGGGAAGCCCACATTACTTTGAAGGCGCAAGATCAAGGGGAAAGACATTGAAGTGGCAGCAACAACGGGGAGGAGCAGTAAATGAATCGGTTATGCGGTCCTGAAATAAGTTTTGCTCTAGGCACTCGAGCGATCGCGAAGCCGGTGGAATAGGAGGAGCGGACCAGAGCAGCAGGTTTGCACTGTGATGCAGCACGGGCGCGGTACTATGAAGTTTCCAGATCATTAAACTGACGGCACATCATGGCTAGTGGCACCGACGCAATTTTGTGGACAGTGCTTTGATGAATCGTTGGCGGGTACTGCTTGAGTATAGTGCCCGCCAACGGGATATGTTCAAGAATTGTTATTCTCGATCCTCAAAGCGTGAGGAAGTTAAGCTGATAGTACTATGTCAATGTAAACTGAGTGTTCACTGTACTCAGTTCTGTCAGCGAATGCACTCAATTAATAGATTCGGCCAACTCCGCCGATCTCGAAGCTTTCAACTTCGATCATGCCTGTCCTCTCGATTGTCGAGCCTGTTGGCCGTAGCAGGAATACATGCGGGTACTGCTCTGAGCCAGGAAGGAGGAGTGCCAAAGCGTCTAGCATAAGCACTGGATTAGTATCCGCGCAACTGTCTTGCGAAGCGAGTTACCTAGGGCTTCGGTAACCACGACTTTGCAGACTCATGCTTCGGTTCCCTAGGTATATCAGCACATGATTGACCGGTAGCGGAATTACGGAATCTCTGCGATGCTTTTGCTTCTTACCCCAACCTTCTAGGGGCTGGAGACGAAGTGGGAAATATGTTTATAAACCAGACTTGTATCACTCCTGCTGTCCCCAGTACACCATTCGGTGCGTGCTTTTCGAAGGTGGCGTTCAAGAGATTAGCGAAATGTTGTCCGTGGTCAGGCTATCTGCTCTCGATTTCAAGCCTTCAAAAACGCAGCGAAAATTAATTTCGAAGTGGAATCGTTTTATCCTTGATTCTCCAGGGGAGAAACCCCCACTTAAAGCGAAGTGAGCTTCTTTCGTGGCGAAATATTATATACCGGCTCAGTGGTTACAGGGCAAAGGATCCATCGGAGATATCCTCACTTCAGGAATTGCTGCACGCATCTGAAGCTTCTTTTGTGCCAGAGAGTAAAGTTAAGGCACATACATTCACGGTCAGTGAACCTTTTGTGACTAGTTGATGCCTTGTGAGACTTTCAGCAGATGGAATTAGAGCCCTCATCGTATAGTGCGGAGAAATTTGCATTGTACTGTCAATACCAAGAACAAATTCATAAAGATCTAGACAAGCAGCCGTCAGGATTCGAACGGTTTCTTGTAGACAATCCTCTAGTGGTGAGTGCTGGAACCCAATTCGTGATATGTGGATGAAATATCTTCTTCCAGTTGGAAGACATCAAGTACACGTCTGGTGCACCGAAGTATCTTCCATCACATTATGGAGCTTACCACCAACTATATCGAGTTGATGGCGAACTTATTGCAATAGGCGTGATAGATATACTACCCTGTTGCGTGTCGTCGGTTTATTTTATATACTCTCCGTCTTGGGGGTGGGCATCCCTTGGAAAGGTGCGCACTACAATGGAGTTTCTTTTGCTTTTCATGTTTAAGCTGTCCCAGCTCAGTGCGTTACGTGAAATTGCGCTCGCGAAGGAGATGAATGTATATGGGGTTAATTCAATGCAATACCAGTATATGGGTATGCCTCTTATCTTGACTAGTGGTAAAGGCTGACAAGCTCGTGAGGGTTCTATATCCACACTTGCCCGAAGATGAGGTATAAGGGGGAGTACCAGTCATCTTACCTTTTGGACCCTGTGAGATTCGCGTTTCCGACTTGGTTATTCATAAATGACAGGCAGCGATCGGTCAGGAAACTTATGTGTGGCATCCGATAACCAATTGCGTTCCTGAGCTGGAGAAGCATCCATACGTGTCTTTCTCCGATCCTTCCCGATTTCGTGACGCGCCGCCATCATTCCCCTCGCCCGTTGGTTCAGAAGATTCGGACGACGAAGTTGCCGATGACGATGCCCAGTCTCCCCCACAGGAAGTTCTATTGGAAATTCAGTGCATTGAAAATATCCATGACGGAACTGTATGGACCTGTCCTGCCTCTGTAAGAGCAGAGTTTTGTTCGATTGTCTGGATACTGAGTGGAACGTCTTTCCCTCTGTTCTCATTTATGACGCTAGCAAAAGCATTGGGATAATTCAGGCTTTTCAGCATTCTCATCCGTTGTAAATGGGTTAGGGTTCTCCTTGGCAAAACAGGTCCTATTTTGGATGTAAGTGTTGTGTGGGTTTTGAGAGTCGTTTCTTGCGGATCTACTTGCCGCGATGACACGTAGCCACTGTGCGGGCCCGCGCGGGTTTGTCCGTTTTGGACCATTTCCGATCGGTCGAGCAGGCCGGCAATAGGTTGTAGATATAGTCAGCTGTGACTTTGGAATATTTGTACCTTGCAAAACGTGCGCGTGGATCAGGTCATACCAGACGATTAACGGCAACATCTTAACAATATTGGTCCTACCAGGACATGTTAACTGTCCAGAGTTCTTGATTACACTACAGCGTGATGGTAATGCCCTCGGCCTCAAGTAGTAAATCATAAGCTTTCGATAGATCGAGAATTGACTCAAGCAGCTTGTACAGCGCTCGTCTGCAGGTACAGTCCCCGGCCCCTGGATGCCATGACGATCGTATGGACCATACAGTCTCTGCCGGCCTTCGCAGATGATGCAACTAGCAACAAGGATGACGAGCGGCTGTTGTAGGAGCCAAGAGCTTGGACACAATCATGTTGGTACCGCGTTCTCTTCTTGGGCAATGCGGGCGGCTAGCGCTCGGGTAGTTTTCGTGAACATAAATTTCAAAGAGATACCGTCTTCTCTCGTTTCGGGCTGATCCCTTCTTCAGAAGTATCAATTCGGATGGCATCACATAACATCGAATTGATAACTCTCGAAGGCCTAGAGGGCTGCTGGATTTGCCGGTTGCGCAAGAAGCGATGCCAAGTTGTCATCATGGACAGGAATCGTCCTTGCTTCGATTGTTCAAGATTCGGCATCCGATGCAAGGGCCGCGGGCTTCCTCGGCCGAAAATTGTGAGTTAAAATTAATGCGACATTTACTGCCCGATTTACATCATCCTGTGGTCCAGGATAAAGGGCGATGTAAGTTAATGACTGAGGACATCAAGTCACGGATTCGCAATAGCAGCCGTGGAAGTACATCAGGCGGTCTTTTGGAAATCTTTCCACGCGAAGGCGAGGAGGCCGAGAATATGGAAGGCTTCGACTTCAACCAAGTATCACGAAGTCTAATGTCTCCATTGGCCGCCCCCGAAGAGGACAGTGCGCACGTACACGGAACCTATCCCAATCACAAAGATGCTAATGCCAGCTCTTCCAATCGGTCCACTGCCAATTTTGGGTCTGCAGCAAAACTACCAATTTTAGGATACCAAGCTGTGCGGCACTGGAACCTAAATGTTCCAGTCACCGGTGCGTCGCGCCCGTTATTTTCCGTGGATGCAGCGGCACTAGCATGTTTTCAGGGGAACAGGTCGGAATAAATCCCCTGCACGGACAGCGCAGCAATACGGCGTCTGAGTTGGACCATTGTGCTTTCGAGGTTGACAATCCAGTATTCCTCGATCCTGGACTGCTCTTGGGTGATCACGAAGGATTGTGGGCAAGTCGAACACCGGTTTCCGATGCCCTTGGTGGTAATTCAACGCCAGACATTTATTCATCGGCGTCTAATTATTGGGAATCCGTATATCGAGGTTTTCTGTCCGGAAGTCTATAGAAACATTGCGTCGGGGCGTTAAGTCACCACATCGAGCATAGCAAGGTGATAGTTGACCGTGATGGGAAGTCGGGGCCCCGTAGTTTGATGAAGTATGCTCTGCGATGGTTGCACCCGCAGGAGATCCAATTTTTAACTGTCTATACATCGCTTTCGCTCCCTTGATGCGCGTGTGAGCGGGTGCTTGTCAAAAAGCTGCTGATTAGACCCTAGGATCAGGGAATCCCGAATCGAGTAGGATAGCGGTCATAAGTGTCCCCAAGACCGGCAGCCGTGGCTCACATTTCCCTTGGAGAGACTGAACTACTCGCCGCTGTGCCCGGATCCAAGGAGTGTTACTAAGCCCATTTATACCAGTACGATGCGGCTTGTGGGGTCCATCCCACTTGTAAAGCTATCCCCTGTGATGCGATGTCTGTCGAGCCTGCACACAGATAGAATATGCTGTTTATGGCTACGCACTTCTCTTCTCAGCATGAGGCAAAGAACTAGGTTGGTGGCTGTTCTGTGTTCATTCGTGATTACGTCAGCCCAGTTTTTTTACCGACATGTCGCGACCAGACGATCGAGGACATTCGTCGTCGCCTCAGTCTATCAGGATAGACATGGACCACTCTCTCAGGAGGGAAGATGGTGGCCCCAGGCGGTCACCGACAATGATGAGGGCGTTTGATGATGAGGATGCTCGCGAGAGACAGAGGCAAATGGATGTGGACTCCGCTCTTCAGCTCTGTGTGTTATTTGTTATTCGTGTACTATTGGGCCTTTATATCCCTTCACTCGTTTAGCGCGATCACGAAGCACCACACTTCCCATTCCTGGCCAGCAGCAATCGCATTCTATTTTAAGCCATAGCTTGTCATCTGGTCCATCTCCAAACTCTCCACCTCTTCGGGGTGGCATGGGTCTGATGGACCACGACTTCCCCACCCTTTCGGAAGCGGAGGAGCGAGACATGCAGCTGGCTCGAGGTGGCAACGGGGGCATGGGTCCCTCACTCGCAGATTATCCATATCGTGATGAACCAGAAGCATCTGATATCAACCCAGATGTTATACATACTGACCCACTTGATGCCGAGCCTCCGCCGCATCTCGGTGGTCACTCAACTATCTTGCACCACGACCTCCGTGTCAACTTTCACGACCCGATGCTCGACCCGCCTCCAGTACGCCGCCGTAACACGTTGACGGTTCCATATAGCCCTCATGACCCCGTTATCGGAAGCTTGGGGACACATGACCCCCCTGCTGCTGGATACTCAAACAACTTATTAGAAGACCAATCATTTGAACACACCAATGCCGTGTCTCAAGACGTCACGTCGAGGCCGGAGGTGTTTCGCTATTCAGAAGCTACTGCATCCCACCACCAACTTTTGAGCACCAATCCGCCTGTCTATCAACCCGCCTATCGTTCGAATTTCGACTACTCCCTTATCGAGCGGTTCGCAGCCCAGGAACGAGCAGCTAGGAGTGCTGCAAGGGGCGTGAATGGAAGCGCGATGGGAGCGGAAATACGACGCCGACTAGCAGAATCAAGCGTTACAGCTCCTAAAGAGTCAGGGGATGATGCTTTTAGAGTTCAGAAAAACATGACTATTGCCGAAGGAGATCTCGTTGGAAACACTGGCGACAATATCGGCCAAGAGACTCCCGATGGTTTCCTAGTCAACTCATCCCCTGCCCTGGAGGAGGGATTTGTCCAGAAACGACAGCGGAAATTGAGTCAGTCGAACCCAAATCCTCGGCGGCAAGCGAAGCTGGCAATGTTCGAAGGAGGGGTCGGGCTTCCTCTGACTTCCCAGCCAACCCCTCCCTCTCACCTTGCCCCTGGCGGCGCCTCCCCGGGCACTTATGGTGTTTCAAGCGCCCGAGCGAACTTCTTTGGCCACTCCCATCGCTCTGGGACGGTTGACTCTGCCCACGATCGCCCTTACAGGTTTTCATTTTACTCCAATGCCATGGCTCAGACTATCCATGCACGAAGCTTAAGTGAGATCCCAGCAGAAGGACAATCGTTCGAAGATCTCTTCTTCGGGAGGTCGAACCAGGCCAATGTGCCCAGTGATCAAGAAACACCCTCATCTGGTGGTATTTCCACCGCCCTACATCCCAATGGAATGCCGAATAGTTTCAATGCTTCTATTTCCTCACACCCCACCCCCTTGAATGGACGACCTGTTCGCTCTGGGATGCCGGCGGAGGCGAGTCAACCAAAACCGAAAGAAGGATTGTTCTCAAAACATCCTGGTCGCACTGAGGGCCATTCATCCCCTGCTCCTGGTGGTGCGATAGATGATGACCAGGACCGTTATACATGGTGGTTGGATGTCCTTTCTCCTACCGACGATGAGATGAAGATGTTCAGTGGAGTACGTTTCGGGACCTCGAAGTATGATGTCGTTTTCCAACTGAACACAATGATTGATAAGGTTTTCAATATTCACCCTTTGACTACGGAAGATATTTTGATGGAGGAAGCTCGCGAGAAGATTGAGTTGTTCCGTAACTATTACTTTGTATGGATCTTGTTAACTTATCCGCAGTCAGTGTAGTCACGCTCACTCATCATAGGTATGCTTTCGTGGATTCGACCAAGACGTTTACAGCCCTACTCATCTGGAACCATTAAACATGTACATTGTCGTCTTCCGAGAAGGCGTGCTTTCTGTACGTTTTCCACTCCCCGTAACCCTCCCTGAGTGCTCACCCCGGCTGTGCGGCCAGTTCCATTTCAGACCCTCGCCTCATCCTCAAAGTGTCCGCCGGCGGATTAAACAACTGCGGGATTACATTAATGTAACCGCGGACTGGATCTCCTACGCTCTTATAGACGACATCACTGACGCTTTCGGACCACTCATTCAAAACATTGAATATGAAGTGGACAGTATCGACGAATTGGTATTGATCCTGAAAGATGCCGAGCAGACGGACATGTTACGGCGCATTGGAACGTGCCGAAAGAAAGTTATGGGTTTGTTGAGGTTGATGGGTAACAAAGCAGACGTTGTTAAAGGACTCGCCAAGAGATGCAACGAGAATTGGAGCGTGGCGCCGAAATCTGACATCGTGCGTGTTACATGTTATTATCGGCGTCCTGGTGTTGATGCTTATATCTTGCTCCCAGGGACTATATCTGTCGGACATTCAGGTATCTTTCTTTCCTCGGTTCTTGATCGTGGCTTATTAGGCTCAACAGGATCACTTGGTGACCATGACACAAAACTTGAACCATTATGAAAAAATCCTATCGCGTTCCCATTCCAACTATCTCGCCCAAATTTCCATCGAGATGACGGACGCTAATAACCAAATAAATGACGTGTTGTCAAAGCTAACGGCCCTTGGTACTGTTCTTATTCCGATGAATCTTATCACGGGTGGGTAGCGTCTGGTAGATCTCTGATTTAATAATTTCATGTTTCTACAGGCCTGTGGGGCATGAACGTCCACGTTCCAGGCCAGGATGTGGCAGTTGGTTACACTTGGTTCCTATCGTAAGTTTCACCGTCACGAAACCGATCCGACAAATCCTGAACTTCCCTGTAGCATCATAGGCGGTTTAGTTGGTTTCGGAATCATCGGATTCTTTGCTGCATCCAAGTTACTTGTGTCGCGGTAATCATTGCTGCTTGGTCTTGCTGACCTGACGAGTGTATTTACCGGTCCTCAGCTAAATCCTTTATTCTGACATTAGGCATATTGCAATACAAACATAGGCGATGTGTACACTAAATCCCTTGGTTCGACAGAATAATGTTGTTAGCAAAATTATATAAAGAAGAAAAACAGAGATTCAAAGAGTGAGAGAAGTGGGAACACTGTAACAGGGACTATGTGAGAAGTGCCTCAACAGCAACAGGACCCAGTCGTCTTATCTTCTGGGGCTGTTCGCTATTGGAAGGCCGAGAATTTGTATCGTCGTATTCGTCAACGTTGATGGGAGAGCCACGCCGTTCCAGTGTATTCCCGTTAACGGGCGGCGAATTAGGGGAATGGCTAACATCGTTCGGAGCCTTTCGTTTCCGACTGAGGTGCACGGGAGTGGAGACTTCACTGTTTCTGGTTCCAACATCGTCTGAATATTCTCTTTCTCGCTCGGGCGTTGTGGGAACAGCACGAGAGGCGCTCCGGATACTCGGTGAGCGATCGACGCTATGATTCGATGGCGGGGGGAGACTGTTTCGAAGGGCATCAATAGTGATTCGTGCAGATGATGGAGAAGGGGGTCTGATGCGTTCCGGAGATCTTGACAACGATGGATCGATCACATCTACATGTGCAACCGCCCCGTTGATAGGGTTCGGACTGTCTCCGAGAGAATCTATTGGGGAGCCCAAGTCTACTGGTCGATTCTTAGTGATAGCAGGTTTCTTTAGAGGAGGTCGGCCTGGTCTGGCGGCTTTTGATGACTGAGCTGACCCTTGGAAATCGGCGTTGTCATCTGACTGGAAGGTATAGGACATGAGATGAAGAATGATGACAGGTCGCATCGGATTTGGCGGAAGAAGGGTCTTTGTGGGCATAGTTTGCCGTCGCCACATGAACCAGCTGACAAAATCTACATATTCATTTGGCTGAAGGCCTTCAAAGAAAGTTGTATCAATGGCATGATACGGCGCCATAAGTATGTGGACTCACCGTCGTGCCGAATTCGCACCTCTCGCTCAGGGTACTCAGATCCCTTTGAAACGCAACATACTGGACAAATGAAAGGCAATACATTTATGGAAGAGCCTTGGACTACTACGCAGTTATGATGATACTTCCGACGACAATAATGACAATCTAGCGCTGGGTTCCTCGGAGAGCTTTCGTATTCCCCTTCGCATACGCACTGGCAGCCATCAACGCCTGGTGTTGCAATCTCACACCTGGGAGCAACGCGGATAAACAACGACACTGCGAGTGTATGGACTTTGGACATACCGGAACGAGAGCAGAGGTTGTCTTGGCTCAACTCTGTTTGGGCGTGCCATCTGCCATCGGTTCTTGTCATGCGTTGTCGACGATGAAAGTGTTCGGATTGGCGTGCCGATAGGCATGACTCCGTGAGGTGACATGTCGGGCACGGGACCACCATACGGCGAGTCGCGCGGTGATGTGTAGGAGGAATGAGTGGCTGGTCTGGACGCATGATTGTCCAAAGTTGATTTCCCAGCCAAGGAGCGGTGAAGAACAGCTAATTCTGCACCGTAGTTTGATTTGGGCTTGTTGACATTGATCCGGAATCGAATGACATAAAGTTTCCGCATGATATGACGGATTTGGGGAATAACTTTGGTCGTGTCAGCAGCAGAAACCGGTCTAATTTGGCGCAGGAAAGCATCAATGTTCTTGGCAAATCTGGTGCAGCTTGTGATTATTGCATTGAGGAGTTGATGATAAGCGGAATAATGTTTTGAGAGTTCGGGCGCGGCCTTCGCGATAACGAGAAGATCTTGCAATGAAAAATTACGCATCTGATTTGTTTGACCGTCCCAATGCTGAACATCACAGAAGGGACACGACCCCGTCATGCATACCGAATGAAACTAAGAAAAACGTTATTAACGCAGCAGATCTGACAATATACACTTCGAACCTTTGCCCCACATGAATCACATTGGACGGCGCTGGGAGCATCGGGGCCAGAGCTTATTCGAACCGGGTCAGTGCAGATGCATGTGCAGTCAGGTCCGGGGATATCTTCATCGAATGTTCGAGTCTCAGAAATGACATCCTGAAGGACTTGAAATGCCTCCCTGAATGTTTCGATCGAATTTGAAGGGAACGCAGATACAGGTCTGTACCAGGGATGCGACCGCAACCACGACTCGTGTGCAGCGAAGCTTTCATCTACGAGAGTGAATGCCTCGATGTTCATCATTGAAAGGTCCTGGCGTATCTCCGTTCGCCAAGCCAACAAATCGTCAAGCAAACTCTCCAAAGGATGGCCGTCTGTGCCAGTATAGGTGCCTTGTGCTATTGCTTGATAAAGCTCAGAAAACACCTTAGCACGATTGGCAACAGCCCGGAGCTCTTCGACGGAAGGAATGGCGAAATCCCCTGACTTTTCAATAAGGGAAAGTGCTTCCTCTGGTGTAGTCCTTCGATCACGAACAGTTGATAGCATTGCCTTAGCCTGACGTTCATACTCCTTCGCACGGGACCAAATAGCCGTCATTGTTTTACAAGTCTTCGTCACAGTGGGAGTCCCAGGAGGAGGCACAGCGATCTTGGCGAGTTCCTGAATCGGCATAGGCCGTCGAGCAAGAAGATTGGCTGCATCTTGCTTCCACTGACGACCGAGCGTCTGCTTCTTTTCGAGCTCAACATAATAATCGTGGTGGGGTTCCATGTTGTTGGCACGCGCGCGTCCCAGTAACTCCTCAACGTAGTCGAGAGTAAGTGTATTATCATCAACCTCGTCAAGTTCGCGAAGGAGTTGCAAGAAGGAAACGGCAGCTTCCAGGTCTGCTAACTCGGGCACCTTCATTGGCATAGATTTGCAGTCGCTTAGCATGACTTCAAATTCCTCGATCTTGCGGTCCTTCTCAGGAAGAGCCAGGGCAGCAGAGACCCTCGCTCGGAGATCCTCGACTTCCTGGATGATGTTAGCCAACTGGGAACGTTCTGGGCAATCGAATCCGAGAGTATCTGCTTCCTTGAGCAAATCGTATGCGTCCGATATCACGAATGCGGGCTCCGGCGTGGGGTCAGGGGCAGGGGGGTCAGGGCCGCGACTCTTCCTCGCGCGCTTCCGTGGTATGGACTTCTTGGCGATGAATTGCGAAGCAAGGGAAACCCATGCATTGGCACGGTTGACAAAGTTTTGCAGATTGTACAAATCTTGTTGAGGCAAGCCAGTTGATTCGGCCTCCTGAAGCAGAGCCTTCAAGGTCCGCAACGACGGTTGTGGCGTTTCCTCCAAGGCGAGATGAAGTCTTCCAACCCAACTTTGGGGGAGATCACGCTTTTTCTTGATCTGCCCGAGAGTTTCACGCAACTCCTCGTCCGTGAAGCGGGTCCGTAGCGTAGTTTTACGAAGCAGGGGATCGATGCATATGCAGAAGGACTTCGCATGGTCCAAGCAGGCCACCAACGTCGAACAAGTGCAAGTGACTTGGGACAAGTAACAAAATGATTTGCAGATGGAACACTGGTACTGCTCCTCAGGCTTGTCATGAGGATCGTAGACTTCATCTGAACCGACAACTAATTCGCGAACCACCTTCCGAAGCTTGAGTTCACGATCAGTCATGGCCTGCAAGCTATCGTGGACCCTAAAACACTAAATTAGAACACCTCAGCAACACGTCTCACAATAGACATACCAAGTAGCGCTCTTGACGGTATCCGAGTATTGGGTGATAGTCAGCAGGAGCTCATCGTGGGAGAACACCGGGACTTTCTGGTGCTCCCGATAGCGTCGTGCACATGCATACCCAAAAGGAAGCCAAGCAGGAAGCGCAAAATTAACAGCTTCATTGAAATTGAACTGGGAAGTAGTTCGGAACGGGTCAGAACTACTCAATAATAGAAACCGGGTGCTTACCCCGTGATTGAATCCAGCATGATAAGCCTGGGGAAAGGTGATAACAAATTCTCCTGGCCGCTGATTAACCGCGCACACGCGAACTCCAGCTTCCCGTATACGCTCCGGGTGCATCAAAGTGACCAACTGGAAAAGCAGATCCGGCTGAGCTTCGAAAAGATCTGGAGCCTCTTTCTTAATAGCGGTCTCAAACTTCTCAGCGTCCTCTGCGGGTATGCCATACCACGTTTTCGTTTCACCCCAATGCACTGGAGTGAACCAAGTTAGTGATTCATCAATGATGTCAACAGCGGGCCCATACTATAGTTGATGCTGTAGGTATAGTGATCCTACAAAAAAGCCTGTGAATGACAACCTCGGGCCTGGATCTCGCACGTCACCATACCTCGTTATGCCAACAGAAAGTCGAGAACAACATCCCAACATAAGTCCACGGAACTGTCATACCGGAAATGTCTGACTTGATGTAACGAAGAAGGGAGTCAGGAAGGATTGGGATGTTGTTGAGGTTCCATGGGTCACGACTGTAAGGATTTAGCGGATGGGTCTCCATCGTTGGCATGGCACTATGAAGGAATAACTCGATTAAATAACTCGATTAAATTCCTCGAATAAATGGTGAAATGAGCACACCTCCCATGCGTTGTCGAGTGAACGTCGGCGCCATATTCGACTTCGACTGTATGTTTCGGTGACTCGACCAATCTCCAAAATTCGAGTTCTACATCTCGTTCCGAGACGCCATCTTCGGCTGTGACCTCCCCTGAGCCCCCAGAAACTGCAGACTTATGTTTTTCAAACCACTTTTTGCGGAAGCCGCTAGCACGAGCTTGGAAACTCAAGAGGCTGTGATCTTCGCCTTCGTCGAAACCATAATCAGTGTCGAAAACGCAGGAATGGCAATACCATTGTCCCTTGGGGATGGCTGCTAAAGGTGGGTCCAAGCAATATGTATGAAAACCTATTGTTTATCAAAGCGCATGAGCAGGGGAAGTAGATACCAGGAAAGGCTGGCGTACCACGCTCGCAGCCATCACAAAGGAGCATTTTTTCGTCATTGTCCAAACCTTTGCACACTTCGCAATACTGATGGAAATATTAGTGGACTGGAAATTAGAAAGGTGCATGTAAGCGCATACATCGCCAAAAGGTAGTTCAACAGTGTCTTCTGCGGAGAAAGGGCATTGTATCAAAACTTATGGCCTGAAATATATCCAAAACAAATCAGATGCATCACACCTAGTTTCGAGATTACCGATGCGGAAGATGGCACACTTGACAATTCCGATGATGGTTGTGGCGTGAGAGGTGGTGTGTTGCTCTTCCGACCGTTGACTTGCGCTTTGGGGGATGAGAGGCCATCCGCAGGCATAGGACTGAGGGACTTGGAGCCCGCACTAACCGGTCCACTGTCTGGGCCATTTTGGCCACGGGGGGGAGTTGTAGACGTACTGCCATACTTGGCACCCATTCGAGAGGTCACAGGAGGCTGAGAAACATTCCGTGCGCTCCTAGTAGAATATTTAGATGCCTCTTGGTTGCCATTCGTTCCAGGAAGAGCAGTGCCTCGAACTTGGGAGACAAAAGTGTCGAAGGGATGGATGATTCTTGAGAAAGCGTTTTTGAGCTGAGTCGTGACGCCTACGAGACCATCATATCCCATAACACGGCTTATATCACCCCAAAGACGGTTACGATTGACCTGGGATCGGGAGGTTGTCGAAGGTTGTCAAGCGAGACATCGAGGGCGTAAGCGCTGTAAAAACTCACATGTTCAAATCCTCCACGCTTATGCACTTCCTTCCGCAAGACCCATAAGTCAAGAGGCTTATGAGATATAGTGGGAACAGTTGGGCGAATGCTGGTTCGTTCATGAAACCGATACAATTGTTCGAGGAAATTGATCTTGGCACGAGATGATGCCTCAATCGAGTTCAAACGCTGTACACGCGTCTTGAAGCGGAAGGTCTGATGACACGATCAACAAGTTTTCAGCCGCTTTGGCCCAGAAATGGTCGAAAAAAATGAGCCTCACTGTCGTATCAGTGACAAACGGCATCTTCCAGTCATTAGGGGGGATGATCTTCACAATGCCACACTTTTGTGCCTCTTCAGAGATAGATGAAATGTATGCTAACGGATCCCTGAACTGTTCGAGGGTTGGGAAATATGCTGGAGCATCTTCCAGGCCGAATGCTCGAGGCGGTCCGGGTTTAGCTGGATCGACCAGTGGCGTCGTTCTAACGGTGGCAAAGTCGAGCGGTGGGCTTATTACTTGCTGCTTCTTTGCCATGTCCGGTTTGGAAGGGCGGGCTTGAGCAGAAGTGGTTGAGGTTGAGAGTGGAGGCGATGAAGCACGCATCAAGGCGGCCAACGCGTCAGATTTAGATTTCCGCGGAGCGCGCTTCCCGCTGGTGGTAGAGTCGGCCTGAAGGGTAGTCTTCGAAGGCTCATGACTCATCCTGTTCCCCGAAGGAGCCGGCGACTTGGGCCGAGGAAGGGCTCCTGGCGCAGGAATTTCTAGTGCGGACGTGAATGTGGCCGTGGATCCATGGTGTTCGCCTGAGTCAGAAATGGCATTATTACCCCGGGCAACCGCTCTCCGGAGTTCCCTCTTTGAGCCTGGTATGAGTGCGTTCATGGAGGAAGGAATTGGGTTACAAGTGCATTCGAAGACTGGCAGCTACAGAGTTTACATCCGATGGGCCGTTTCCCTCCCGCCCTATCTCTCCCTATTCAGTCCCTCCCAGATGCCCTCCTAGCTCTCCGCTGTCTTATATGCCCTGCACTTTCAGGGGTTCGTCCCAGCTTACCTACAGGTTTTTCGCTTACCAAGAACCGTGCACGTTCTTATTTCCCATCACGCTCAGCCAGTCCAATTCAATCTGTTGACAGCTAGCGCTTGCCTTCACTCCTCCTAGTGCCTGTTGAGGGGCATTGGGCTCCTGTGGAAGGGGTCAATCAATATGTCTGTCTTTGTACTCTTTAATCCCTTCTCGGGGGTGCCGTGCTCTCCATGGGGATTCATCTGAGCCCCTGCGTGTGCAATTCTTTTTTTTCAGTCTATCAAGCTCTCCGCATCCTAGCACTCGTTTCAATCGCCCAGAAAGCTCCCCTCTCGGACGGCCAATCTTCCCTAGTTATCAGAAACGAAGTGCCCCGTCTTCTTCGAAGTGTGAGACCTCTTGCCTCAGATCATTTGATCCGCCGCTTTCGCACACCAGTTCTGACTCGATTTTCGGAACGCCCGAGTCGTCAAGACAGCACCGTTCATATCCACCATTGAAGGCCTATGGGCCACGCCGTTGGTTGGGCCTCCAAGGCTAGCGTGGCCCGGCGCCTAGTCACCAGTGCTCGGGTTAGCGACCCAATCCGTGATCTAGTCGCATTCACCCCGAAATTCGTTCCCAATATGAATATGCACATCTAAGGTGATAGTCCAACTATAGACTTAGAAGGGGCATTGGCCAAGGTTGCTTTCCTCCCGTTCTTCTGATACGCGACACCTCAATTCACACATCAGTCTATCTATCAATCATTTCCAGTTCTCCCACTTCGACTATGTAGACCGGATGCCTTCGGGGAGATTTGTTAGAAGCAATCAACACCCGAGCGATAAGGTGGGTCGGATTTCGGAAGATACCTCACATTCGTCTTTCCACATTCTCTTTCCGAGACCCCTTGCACCACGGACACCCAGGTAGAAGGCCTCGTTAGGTACCCAAATTGAACTTTCGATCTCCGGCCTAACAGGCCTAAATGCATATGAACGTTCTAAGGCTCGTTGAACTTTCTCTTTTGTATTGATTTGAACATGTAAAACGTTCATCACGAACATTTAGAACGTTCTCTGACTGTATAGAACGTTCAGCAATGCCATAGAATGTTTTATACTACCTGAGGGATGCCCTAACCGTCCACATACTCATGGAGATCGTCCTCCGCATCGTCAGCGTTGTCTAAATCACATTATTATTGGCTATGGTACGCAAACGTATATACATGAATAGAAGTAATGCGCAATATATGACAATCGGTGCACGCGCAACCGTGAAAGTGTAGAGTATTTGGTGCTACGTGATAGACAGCAGCTAACGGAATTTATCTCGAAGGTTAAAAAGTCGAAATTTCGAAGAGGAAAGAGTGAACGGGATATGATAAAGGGTATGCGGATCAGGAGCCTTGTGAGGGATTATGAACTTCCGCAGAGAAATCAAGACCTGAGACTAGCACACCTTGGGGATTGGACGGGGATGGCATTATGAAGGTGGCATCTTGGGGATTGGACACAGACGGCGTCATGAAAGTAGCACCTTGGGTATGAGACACAGACGGCATCATGCAAGTAGAATCATACCCATGGTGTGCAAACGGAGACCAGCCATTATTAAATCCCATTCCGTGGCTAACAAAGGGCACCACCCCAGAAGGACCGAGATATGGATGTACCCCTCCTGCAGCTGAATTCCCTTGCAGCGCAGGACCTGGAAGTGACTGCCCCATTACTTGGTAATGATGTGGGCCTACCGACCCAGTGGGCGGCTGCCAGTCCATATCGACAGAGATGGGATTGGGGGGGGTTGTCGGAGTGCTGGGTGTTGCCAGCCTGGCCCGTTTCTTCATCAGGGCAGGCTGTTTCCCGGCAGCGCGTCGGCGAGGGTTAGGAGGTGGGGTGGAGTCCTCGACATGACCATGACTGTCATTGTCACTTGCATCCTCTCGTTTGCCTAAAGATGGGTCCTTCGCTTCTTTGAAAGAAATCAGGACACGGCCTGTAGTGCTGATGATAATCCCGTCGTCGTCGCCGTACTCGCTGCGGTTGAACGCTCGAAGAGTGGGCCTGACATCGGCATTTTCATGGAAAAATGCATTCCAAATGACCCGCCACTGTGCTGTGCCAACATTACTGACATCCTGGTCCCAGAACAGCGATTTCCAGTCTAAGCTATCTGGCCAGTTAATGAGAGCAACGTCTGCTGACTGAAATTTTTGAGGAAGTTTCTTCCAGTCAATGCGCCTGCAATTCTCGGCATAGAGAGACCTCCGTTTCATCATTTGCATAAGATAGTCTGAGCACACCGATCGATAGTCTTGCTTTTTCGTGGGTTCAGGAGGTTGGTGGTTCTTCCCGTTCGGGGCACGAGCGCCACCGCGGCCAATCATGGCATTAACATTCATAGCGATTTGATGAAGGGCAACCTTGAAGTCAGGCATGATGCCTTTCAGGTAGTTCGTCAACGTCGGAGTACCACAATAGATTTTGTCCAGCTGATGGGGCATGGGCTCGCTGCTGCCAGAAACCAGGATGATGGCACAATGCAAACCAACCGCTGTGGCAGCATTGACTTCCTCAACAAGTCGCTTCGACCAAGTTTTCATGACTCGTTTTTGAACTTGACCGGCACTACCAGTGAGTCCGTCCATGAACTGGAGCTTGCTTTCCTCATGTCGAAACACAAGGTTACGGGAGTATTTTGTCCATTCCGATGAATCTTCGCCACCGTGGCTCTCAACAAGGGCTTGGTAAGCAGGCCTGACTACTGTCCTCGTATATTCAGCAGCAGAGATACTGTCGGGATCCGGATTTGGGTGCGAATCAAGGTAGGAAGCTTGGAAAGCATTCCACACATTCCCGCGGCTTCGATGCTGCTTCTGCGTAAGGATGAGATTGACAAGAGCGAGGATGGAATCGAATGTCCGATTTTTGGACTTCGCAAATGCATCAATCTCCCTCAGGAAGCCCTGGGTAATCCCTTCAAGCTCCGCCTTTTCCGATTTGTTGAGTCGACCACCTTTTAGCTTCGCACTGAAATCATCATCTATGCCGATGGTTCCCAAATCCGCTTCGTCATGCTCACTCAAGGCATGAAGATCGCCCTTGTCAGAGGGGTTCAAATCACTGACGAGATTGAGAGTCTCGGAGGGATTGCCGGTATATGTGGCTGGCACGTCGATTGTACTGCGGGTGGGGGACGACAGAGTCTCATCATTGATGCCGCAGGCTACCATGTTGCCGTTGGGAGGCAGAGATGTATGGACGTCGCAATGGGTATCCTTTGTAACATCACCGGCCCCACTCTGGGCAGACGATGGTGGAGTGGGACAGTTGGCAGAAATTTCAGACGGCAGAGTGCCACTGCCACTGCTGTGACTGGGGGACGACGACATAGCGACATTGATGCCATGGGGTACCGCGGCAGGTGAGTGCATGATACTTCCATCGCTGCATGCGGCTGCTGCAGTGCGGGAGGATGGCTGCGCTCTGCCAGGAAGTGTCAAGGTCGGTGTGGGTTGTACAACAGCGTCCAACGACACTGTCGTCACAGCACTGGCAGAGAGTTGGATTTCATTGCTGGTACCAGGTTGGACATCACCACCGTCAGCTGGAGGGACGGTAATAGACGAAAGCGTAGACGAAAGCTGGGTGGTCGAAGTTTGGTTGGTGCCATCAATATCTTTGCCTACGACGACATCACACCCTGCAGCACCCGCTATGGCAGTACGACGATTTGAGGTGTTTGTCTTCTTCGACCCTCTCTTGCGGCCAGTAGCTTTGGCGCGCACGCGGGCGGATCGACGAACCGGTGGAGCAGGATCAGAGGCTGAAGTTTGGCCCCTTCGCAGTATGAGTTTAAGGCCAGAATTCGACGATGCCATCAGAAGGGCAGCGAGCACGAAGCCAAGGCAATCAATATGAATGTGTGGGCAGATAAAGCGAAGATAAATCGAATAACAGGCAGTGAACGTGTGGTGGATGAAGCGAAATCGCTCTCGTTGGGTCGCAAAATGATTCTCGTCCAGGCGCAATATTATTAGGCAGGCAGTCCAAAGCTCTGGCGATCTATGAGTGGGCAGAAATAGCGGTCAATATCTCCGTCTTCGTTGCATTCTCTTGACGTACATTTGGGAACAAGACCGTTGTCGTTGGCGAGAAACTGAGTTAAATTGAGCAGGTGAAGGCGCTTTCGTTGTTTAACGAAGCTGCTTCACTAGCCAGGAACTAAGTTAATCTGGGCAATCCAGAGACCTTATCAATCTACAAGCAGATAGGAACGGCAATCAATAGACCAATCCTGTTTGTATTCTGCCCGTTCGAGACAATATGGTGACTTCGAACAACGTTTCATGTGATTGATATAAACAAAGTGCAACAAATATAAACATAGTCATACTCCACATGAACAAACGGGGGAACAGGAGAGGGGATGTGCGGGGGCGAAAGTAGGGAAGGGCAAAGGAGAACATTATGACTGGATAGGCTTGTAATACAGCCCTTGATTTACATTCAGTTCAACTGTCACCATCCATTTCCCACTTCTCGTATATGACAAGGTTTCAAATCTCTCCTCAACCATTGCCTTATTGCGAGCCTCGGCGTGCATGGATCCAAAAATCCTTCGAGAAATCAGGCGCAGGACAAGATCCGCATCTCCTTCACTTGGCCATATCTTAAAGCCACTAAAGTATGGCTTTAGAGTGTCTCGGCTTTTGTGAACAGCGACCCAAGCTTGCACGATGAGCAAAAACCGTCTCCGGCTTCGTGCAG